TGGAGGTCCGGGATAAGAGACTTGAACGTGTTAACCAGAAGGTAGGTTAAGTGATGGGCCCTGCAGCTTTAGTTTGTTTAAAGTTATACATTGCCTTTAGATTGTTTTGTTTGTTTGTTTGTTTGTTTTTTAACAGCTGGAGAAGGATTTAACCACTGGTTAAGGAGAGGGGAGTTTCCCATGAAAATGTGTGTGGGTGTGTGTGCATATGCATGCAGACATGCTTGTGTGTTTAATCCCCTTGCAAGGGAAATGTAACTACATAATAAAGTGAGTCTGGAAGGATTTCCAGCAGTTCACGTATTTGGATCCAGAAAGCATTATCTTTCACAGTTACATATGGAATGTTCTTATGCTCCGGTGATTATGGAAAGGCAAAACTTAAAGTTTAAACATTAATAATATTACGGAAGATAAAACTGTATCTGAAGGTATGATGCATGTGAATCTCTTTGGAGATTTAAAAAAATTGTTGGGCTTTATGGTGCTTCATCAAGGAAACTTCGACTTCTCATTAATTTTCTAGCTATATCAAACTTAATTGAACTGACTCAGGTAAAATGCTGCCCTTTTAAACTAATATGCAAGTCATGGTGCTGGCTTCATATCCGTGGTGTCTCCAAAGAATATTTTGAGGCTGAAACATCACAGTGGGAAATCAGACAATTTTCTAGCTAACTCTGGGGAAACCAGTGTTTGAGGAGGAGTTGGGGAGCATATTGATATCCCTGCTTGGGTGCTGGAAATTCCAGCAGGAGACCGGAATGACCAGTGTAACCCCGGTTTAGAAGGGATCCTCCCCTCCGTGGAAATACTATCTCTGAGTGCAGAGCTTGAAGAGGAGTGGTAAGGGAAGGTGGGAATGCTTGCCAAGTCTGTCACATTAACAGAAACGCAGATGTCACAGCCAGACTGCCTTCAGATTCCTTGCCATCCTGAAAAAATATGCATGGAGGCCTGAAGTCACTTAAATTTAAGCACTTACTTTGATGGTTATATATTATATATAGTTCTGTCTATTATCAGTCAGCTATTTGACAGCTCAGTGATGTTATGATTGGCAACATTGTACTCAGTCTGGAGAAACCCTGTGTGACTCCTCCTGCCTTTGTGATGATTGAGGCATTAGAACAGATACTGGAATTCTCAGTTGTTGACCTTTCCACACTTCATCTTCAGAACCCTCTGAGGCTACTAAATATTTTAAACCTTCTGAAGCAACTTAATAAACTTTATTCATTAGAATTTAATATGTTCACATAGATAACTCAAACAATGACTTTGAAGAGATGCATCAGGCAACTGAAGCAAAATTTTCTGAGCTGATTTTCACCGGCAAGGTTTTCCAACAGACTCACCAGCAGCAGTTTGAGATGCATTCAAATAAGAAACAAGATTCCAGTTAAATGCATTCTTTCTGCTCATCATTTAACACAGTGGAGGAAAAAGTTATTCCATCTACAGATCTGTGTTGAAAGCAGCTAAAATTGATTTCTTTTGATTTATCTTTTGGAACCTGATACTCCAGCCTTAAATTGTAAAGAACATACTATTTGTTTAGAAGGAAGGATTTGAGGCAAGGGTGGGATGAGAGTCCAAATCTCTGAGATAAAACGACGACGACAAAAAACACAGAAGGTCATGATTATGAAATCTGGGTCTAAATGTTGATTATAAATCGCAATAGGCTTTTGCATGACTGAGAGGTTTTCAGTCTTAGATTTGAGTTTCTTTGAAGAATAAAGTTTTGTGACATAAGCATGAGTAAGTTATTACTAAACATTTATAAGCACAGGCAGGGGCTGAGGGTGGAATTTGGTTTGTTGTTTAGATTACCAGAAAACTTCGCTTTTATAAATTTATAGGTGTGAATATGTTACACGACCTTGGCTTTTGAAAACAATTGGAGCCAGATGTTTTGAGTTGAGTATCTTAGAAAATATGTTAACTCTGGATTTACCGAGACCACATTCAGTGCCTCCTACAGTAGCTGTCTTTTTAAGTAGCTGTGCCTTTAAGGGGGGAACGAATTAAGTTCTAATGAACCAGTTCATTGTATAGGAATTATTAACAGTGACAGTTGATTGCTCTAAATGGTCAAATTCAAATCACCATATTGTGGAAACTTTTCCCCTAGAAAAACACTAGACTTCTATTTAGAACCACTGGTTTGAGTCTTGGTCCTCTTACCAATTAGATGTTAACTTTGAGCAAATTATATAATCTGTTAGCCTTATTAGTTCCATCTGAAGATGGAGGTGGTACTAATTCCCAGGGTTGTTCTTAATGTCAAATGAGATAATATATGTGAAGCCCTTTACTGTGAAGTTATCTACAAATATGATGGACATAATGATACTGTGCCTGGTTTAATTGATGTTTTCATCCAAGTAAGACATTGGGGTTTCAGAGCACTCTCTAACTACTGTCTAGTGACTTTAGATGAGAATCGTAGAATGCTTTAAATGGCTTTTAAATGAATATTATTGCGTTTTTCTCTTTCACTTTTTCATCCCAATGAGTGCCAAAAAGAAAAAGAGATTCTATTAAAGTGGGATGCTGTTTTTATCTGTGAAGTTATCGATGCATGGATTTTGTGTTACACTGATGGTTAAGGATAGCCGACATGGGTATGGTGCTCCCAGGACACTTGGTGCACCTCTATGGTGTGGCTCCTAGGACTTTTGAATATTAACCTATCTCATCCTCTCAATAACTGTGGGAGGTGGGTGCTTCCATTGCCACCAGTGTGAAATGAAGGTTGTGAAACTCAGGCACAGAGAGATTAATTTGTTCAAGATTACAGAGTCCACGTGCTCAGTCAGGTCGAAGGTTCCTGTAGTTTTCATTCAGCTCTTAGAGAAGAATTTGGTAAAAAAGTATATACATCGGGATAAAGGAAGTCATGAACATTACTTGGATGTTGGACGTAGGGGATGGTATTTCATTTTGCAAAAATGATGATACATCATGGATGTTTAGATGACACAGAGATTGTATCTTATTTCCCTTTCCCTTTTTCTTTTTTAATCTTCAGTGCCCTTTACTGGGTACATTATTGTTAATTTAGTAGGATTACTTCTCTCTTTTTGGCCCAGGGTATATTAACAGGAAGCTAAAGGGTGAGAGAGGCCCAGTGTTCTCAATCTTATACTATGAGTGAAACTATTGGAAGAAAGAGCCCAAAGCTTCATCCAAACGGACATTACAGAGCTCATGCGCTGTCTTTTTTCTGATTTGGACTTTGTTTGGCTTAGTTTCATATACTATATTTAGTCCTTCTTTAATTGAGACAGGATCTAAGCTATTCATGGATTTGTTCACAAATTTAACAAATTTTACCGAAAGTCTTCTGTGTACCAGGGATGCAGTGAGGTCCTGAGGAGTAAGAAGGTAAGTAGAACAGTACATACTCTGTTTGTTGGGCTCAGAGAAGAGTGGGAAAAACAAACAATAAGCGAATAATGTCACAAGCGGAAGGATCGCAACTGCTCTGGTTAGAGATACAGAGAGGAACGTAGTGTTCCAGAGGTGCATGAGAGAAGGCGTTTGGCTAACACTTGGTGATCATAATTTGTTTTCCTCTCTCTGTCTTCATCCCCATATAAGACATTGAAGACATAGGGAGGAGGAGCAGAGGGAGGGCAAGTTAGAAAGAATTGATGGGGAGCAGTGTTGTTGAGGATACGGAACATAACCCAATGTGGCCATTAGGGAAAGAAAAAAGAAAAACCTAACCTGAGTGGTGTAACATATCTGATAAGTCCTTGCATATTAGCAACTGTATTTGTAGTAACTATCATGTTTAAGAAAAAATATTGCATATTTATTTTACTCAATCCAGTAAAAGGGGGAGGAACACAAATTTTGAGTGATTTTCATTAACATGGTTAAAGTGTTTTATTGTTTTAAAGTGTATGTGTAAGTTTTATGGCAGTTTATTTATCCAGGATATTGAATAAATGAAATTACTGCCTATACTTACAGAAATATTTAAAAGAATATGAATATTAATTACCAAAGCAGACAGAAAGACGGTAGACCTTGGTGTCTTGTTCCACTTGTGACCAGGTCCCGGATGACTAATAATTGAGAAGGGATAGATTGCTTTACTTCTCTTCCTCCCTCTTACTACCATCTGTCATTATATTATTTGTTTATCTTTGGGCCCAGAACTGATGTGTAAGAATCATTCAGACAGAGACTTCATCTTTCTTGCTGATTAATATATACTATTTAGAATAGTGCCTGGCATGTAACAGGCACTCGATAAATCTTCACTGCATGAATGAAAGAATGAGATCATCACACATGTATAGACTTAACAACTGTAATGAACACATGAGATAAGTGAAAGCATTTTAAAAACTATAAATGTTCCACACATGCAAGGTGATGCTATTTTTTTGAATTTTAGAAAAAAGTATAGTTTGCCAGAAGATAACTTATTTGCTTGTTTATTTTGTATTAGTAGATTTCTCTTTAAATATTTATTTCCTAAGTATTTATGCTCCTTTATTTCCATGGTTTTAATACTGACTTCTGTCTTCCTTTATGGTTCTGTAACTCCCTTACCCCAGTGCAGTTACTCTCTACAGTAGAGATTCTTAACCCAGGCCAGTGAACCTTTGGGAAATCCAGGGTTACCTCCTGGGGCTTCATGAACTCCCTAAAACAGTATACCAAAGTGTAGTATTGTAGTGGCTTCTGTGCATTTGACAGAGAGTTACTGTAACTTTCATTAGATTATCTTAGGGTATATGACCCCCCAAGTCTAAGAATCATTGCTCTAAAATTTTCTCTTTTTCTTTTACCTTTTGTTCCTGTTTCTTCTCCTTTTTCTCCTTGAGATGGTTTCATTCTCTTTTTATTTTGCATGATTGTGTTTTGGTGTTTTAAAATGCTTCTTGTTTGATTGTGCCCAGTGTGTGGTATTCTTGGTTTATTGTATGCCTCTGATCCCCGCCCTTCTCTCTGTCTCTCTCTTGTCTGGCCAACAGCGTGGGGATGTGCCAACTGCAGGGTTGTCCTGTCCAGCCCTTCTGGGACGTTTACTTCTCCATGCTACCCTAACGACTACCCTAACAGCCAAGCTTGCTTGTGGACCCTGCGAGCCCCCACCGGCTATATCATTCAGATAACGTTTAATGATTTCGACATTGAAGAAGCTCCCAATTGCATTTATGACTCATTATCCCTTGAAAATGGAGAGAGCCAGACTAAATTTTGTGGAGCAACTGCCAAAGGCCTATCATTTAACTCAAGTGTGAATGAGATGCAAGTGTCCTTTTCAAGCGACTTTAGCATCCAGAAGAAAGGTTTCAATGCCAGCTACATCAGAGGTATGTAAACCACAGGCGGCGCCAACCTTCTGCTTTCATTTAACATGTTCTACAGTAAACACTGGGACCAGAAGACAGAGTTATGTGCTTTTATGTGAATGTGAATGATTAGGATTAGAATTTAAGGGCAAGAATCTGTTAATATTCACTGAACATTCTCATTAGCAATATACCGTTACCAGATCCAAAATCTGGTCACAGTAGAGCCAAATTTGTTTATATTGTTTATATGCAGAACATTTAAAGGCTGCTTGGAAGATATTGTAGATATTCCACAGCTAATAATTAAAAGCTGCAATGCTGACAGCTCTTCACTGAACATTTAAAATATTCCTTTTCAGAAATCATTTTATTTTAGGCTTTTAAGATGTTGCCCTTTTAAGGAACTATGCTAGGGGACAAATATAAAAAAAATTAGCATATAAAATTAAAAAAAGCTATTTATAACTAAAGCTAATAACATAGCCTGAGGAAAGCCCTTTAAAAATGACTAATGAAAGGAAAAAAATATTTCTTTCAAACATATTTCCCAGATTTTGGCATATTAAAGCATTTGAATAATCTCAGTCTCTCTAAAACCTCTCTTTGCTTAAGGAAAACTCAAGCTTCAAGAGTAGCTTCGTAAGTAGATGTCATGCGTGAAAGAAACAAAAGAGAAAGGCACCATTATGAAAATAACCCTCATCATTATAAATTGTGTTTTCGGCGGCAGGGTTATTTACTATTTGTGATTGACATTAGATGCAAGTGTGATTAATTGGAAAACGGGCTTTAATTTTTCAAATAATGTTTTAAAAATTGTAAAACATTACAGGAAATTTGAAAATAAAAAAGAGGCAAAGTGGAATTGCCCATATATCTATAAACCAGTCATAACCACTAATAAAGTGTTGATGGACATATTTCCTTTCAGTCTTTTCAATAATACATGTAGAATACTGGGTTCCTATTACATAAATATGCCTCTGGGTAACTAGAGTTCTCAAATGCTTTGTGTTTAAAAAGTAGGCTAAAAATCCATGATTCTATTAAATTCCACCCTGGATTTTTAACTAGAATGTTTATTTTAAAATGCTTTTTTACCATAGACCTGTTCTTGGTATATATTAAAAAATGTTCAAACTAGCATTCCTATGAAGCTAGCATTAAACAGAATTTTCGAGGAAAGCTACTTCTGTCTCAGTCAGTACATGTTTCATGGTGTCTATTACATTAACAGAGGGTGAAATCCATTATATTATTTAACAATTTCACATGCGTCAAAGAGACTAGGCTGATTCATTTTACTTGGAATATATTATGCAGATGATAATAGTAATCCATTAATAACCAGTAACATTAGTAATCAATCCTAACTATAGATTAACTTTAACAGACACTTTCCTAGTGCTTTCCAAGTATTAATTCCTGTTGACCACCTGTATGATATGTGCCATGGTCTTTCATTTTATGGATGAGCAGACTGAGGTAGAGAGTGCTGAAGTAACAGGTTCAAGGTCACACTGCATTTTGTGGAAGAGCTGGGATAGGAAGTTGCATTGTCTGCCCCATTTTCCTCTGCTCCTTGCTCTCCCTCAGAAAGGAGTGCAGAGGCCTTGCCATAAAGGAAATATGGCTTAAAATTCCATTTTTATTTTTATTTTTTTATTGGACTGCCTCTCCATAATAGGAGTATTTTTACTTTTGTTCCTGAAATGTCCTGGTGATGGGGAAAATGAATAGGAAATGGGGTATCTGAAGTAGCATAGGAGTGTTTAGGAAGAGTAAAAGGCTCTTGTTAATGAAAAATAGAACTATTAGCTATTATGTTTAGAAAATTATTTGGAAAAATGTATAAACAGAGCTTTCCTGAAACAGTAGTTTCCTTAATTTGGGTTTTTGAGGGTTTCGTTTTTTGTTTTTGTTTTTGTTTTTGTTCAGGTCCGGTATTAAAAAAAGATATTTATCATCTTGGTCGTCTCTAGCTCAAAAGTTTTGATGTGAGATCCCACCGTGATTAGAGTTAATATGGGTGGGGTTACATATTGCTGTTATTATTGGGACAAGGTGATGGGTTGGTGATAGAGAATCATGAAAGAGGGTTGATGGGGCAGAGGTCAGTCAGTTGAGTAGTGTGGTGGGGGTGGGCATATCAGATGTTTTGTATCTCTCATTAGTTCTTACTTGAAATTAATACATTTTATCTGTTATTATTTTTCCTAGTTGCTGTGTCCTTAAGGAACCAGAAGGTCATTTTACCCCAGATGCTAGATAGTTATCAGGTATCTGTTGCCAAAAGTGTCTCTATTCCAGAACTCAGCGCTTTCACTCTCTGTTTTGAAGCAACCAAAATTGGCAAGGAAGACCATGAATGGATAGTTTTCTCCTACTCAAATGCATCTTTCATACAGTTGCTTAGCTTTGGAAAGGCCAAGAATGGCTACTTTATTTCTATTTCTGGCTCAAAATGCTTCCTAAACAGCGTGTTACCTGTGAAGGATAAAGAAGACATTTTCACAGAAAGCTTTGAGCAGCTCTGCATCATTTGGAATAATTCTCTGGGTTCTGTTGGTGTAAATTTCAAAAGAAACTATGAAGAAGTTCCATGCGATTCTACCATCAGTGAAGTTATTCCTGGAAATGGGAAGTTGTTGTTAGGCTCCCAGCACAATGAGATTGCCTCCCTAAAAGGGGACATTTATAACTTTCGACTCTGGAATTTTACCATGAATTCCAAAGTCCTCTCCAACCTCAGCTGCCATGTGAAAGGGAATGTGGTTGACTGGCAAAATGACTTCTGGAATATCCCCACCCTAGCTCTGAAAGCAGAAAGCAACCTAAGCTGTGGTAAGTCTGGGCATGCCCCCCCTACCCTTTTTTAATTATTCTATGAATGATGGTGAACAAGAAATCATACACATGTACCTGTGTCTATGTATGTGTGTATATATATGGGTGTGTATGTTCTTGTGTGTGTATATATGTAGTCGTCATTAATGAGCTTTTGATTTTTAAAATGTTATATGCTCAGCCAAACATAGTATACATTTGATTACAAACCTTCGTTACTCAATCAAAGCTCTTGGTTCTACCATTTTAAAGTTTTCCTCATGTCATAAAATATCACACAGTTTATCACTGATGTAACAAAAGTTGTAACTGTCATACCTCAAATAGAAAGGTTAACACTGGGACTGAAACAAAATAAATTAATAAGTTACTGTTTTTGATCACAAAGAAGTACAATAAAAAGCTGATCTTTATGAAATTTCCATTATGTTATTTAAATAAACAACCACCACTGAAAAGGAATGGTATTTACTCAGCCAGGATAAAATATTGAAGCTGTCCATTTTATGGAAAAATCTTCGAGAATCAGAAATTATCAAATTTTTCTTTGAACTTTCTTCTCTGTTTGAAGATGAGCATTTGTTGTTTGTTTCGAATACTCGTAATAGTTGCTCTTTGAGAGACTTAAAATGTGATATTACTGGAAGTAGCTAAATGCAAAATATTTAGGAAAATAATTCCATATGACAACATTATATTAAAATAGACTTCTATCAAACATTCTCTATGTACCTAAGTTAATTTTGGAAGTCCTTATTTTATTACAGGACTGATTAAAATACAAAAAGTAAAGTTTCATTGTCACTTTTGATAATGTAATATGACTAAATCTAAAGTGTTGATAATAAATATTTTTTAGTCACAGAAATAACTTTCATTAAAAGAGGAAAGGAGGAGTCTGATGTTAAAAAGTAATTCTCATGTGACTTTGGAGAACTTCATTCCCAATAGTTTGAACAAAGTAGGACCCCTTTGAAGACCTGAGACCACTTCCCCCATTTCCCTGACCTGTGTGTGCCCTTCTGCTCTGGGGAACTCTTGTCACTGAACTTTCAGTGTAAGTCACCCATCCCTTCTTGTGGTCCATGGTGATCCCGCAAATGGTTAGAGGTTATGAAGTGATGCCATTTGAGGGGTATTTTCTTGTGGGTTGTTGGGCAGAGGGTAAACCACAAGCATGTTGCAGAAGAAGACTGCAGAGCTCTGTAAGAGCTGATGGTGTTCCCCAGCATCCTCTCAATCTGACTAGCTACAGAGGGTGGTCAGGGACCCTTGACAAGACTTTCACTCAGTGAAGAAATTGAGAAGATCAAGTGTGTGTGTTTGGTGTGGGTTGGTGAACAGTGAGAGGGCAGTGATAGTCTTCTTATGTCCAGGGTAATTATTTTTGCTCTAGTGGCCTGTTTTCACCATATCTTTGGCTATTATTAAAAAGTCATAATATAGACCATTTAATAGTTGCCTTTCTACGGGGAAATATTTGAGGACTATGGCAACCAAAGAAAATTTGAGTAGGTGTATTAATAATTGCTAACACTTAAATTATGTGCTTAACTTGAATATTCAGTGCATATTTTCTAGGTACTGTTTTAAGCCCTTTACACATAATCACTCTTTTCTACAACATAGACCCCTGATGTGGGTCTTATTACTAACTCCATTTTGCAGATGTGAAATCTAAGGCCCAAAGAAATTAAGTAACTTATCTAGTGTCAATTAATAAGTGGCTAAGCCAGGAGGTGAACACAGGAATTTAATTTTAGAACTATGTCTCTTACAAGTATAAATTCGACTGTCTTTTGGAATAAACCGGACTAGAAGATGGAACATACTAGAGTAGGTGAGCTAGTTCTTGCCCGGATAAGGAGTATGAAGGCCCAGGAGTGATCTGTGGGAAAACACTAGCTTTCTGGGGCATAAATATTATATTTGTTTTAAACAGAAGTCATAAGGTTTCTTTCCTGTGTTGCCTCTTAGATACATTAATGTGATAAAATGTGAGGGATGTCCATGGATTGATTTCTAAGCTTCTCTAGGAAATGCTCTAGACCAGGGGTTGGCAAACTAGGAAGGCCTATGGCAGGCCACCTATTTTTGTAAATAAAGTTTTATTGGACACAGCCATGACTAGGCGGCTTTGTATTGTCTATGGCTGCCTCTTGCTACAGGGTCAGAGCTGGTGATGGTGGAAGACTGTAACATGGCCCACCATCCTAACATTTTTACTATTGGCCCTTCCAGAGAAAATTTGCTGATCCTTGAAAGTAGTCTAAAAAATCATGAGGGTCCAACCTTCTGAAGCACACACTTTGGATGACTATGGTAAAGACCTGCTAGGTCTCCAGGGCCAGGGGGAGTCAATCAGCCTCTCATGAGCTCATTTAGCCCTCAGACATCCATGCTGGTGGTAGCATTTAGTTGTTCTCATTTATTTATATTTGTTCACACAATGCTTTTAAACAATGATTTCTTTCCAACATTAAAAAAATGATTTCAAATAAAAATAAATTTTTGGATTTGCTGGCAAACAAGAAACGAAGCCTGGGCTAGTCTTGCTGCCAGGCCAACACAGCTGGAGCTAGGTGGTGTTCGCTCCTTGTGAAGGGATGGGCATTCTCCTCAGCCCTTACCGCTCTCCGTATTCTTCTTCCACCAGCCCCCTTTCATCTTCAGATGGCCTTCTGGCTCCAGGAGGCATTTCTGTTTGGGAATTCCAACTTAGGCCAGTCCCTTCACTTAACATAGGGCAGGAAACTAAAACTTAAAAAAAAAAAAAGGAAGTGGTCAAGGCAGTTGGTGAACTAAACATGCACATCTCCTGTCCCCCTTCCCCAGGATCTATATCTGAGTGTCCTCACATTTTCTTTAACACTCTCTTTAAAACTCCTTTCCCAAGGCTTAGGATTACTGGGACACATCAAACATATGCTGGTGTAACATAGTCATCTATATGTTTTCAAAATGATTTCATTGAAAGAGTAGGACAAGTTACAGACTCAGCAGGCTTGAATTCCTTTAATTTTTATAGCAGTCTTCTTGACATTCCACAATGATCTCAAACACCCCATTCCGTGGATTCAGATATCCTGGGCTGTGTTTCAGGAGTCATCACTGGAGAGGGAGTTTCCCGCTGTTCAGTCATCAGCTTTGGGAGTTGAAGAACTGGAGTCACTTATTAACTGGCAGGAAATACCTGTAAGAGAGAGGATATCTAAGCTTGTTAGCTAAGCAGAACTTTCAACAAGTGAAAAAAAGTTTACTCTGTTAACATTTAACCTTTCTTTTTTTTCCTGGAACATTTGGCTTGCTGTTTATCGTAACAGTAATTTCCAAAAACTAATGATCAGTACAGTAACCAATGGGAAAATAGAATTTCATGCCTAACATTCCATTGGACTGACAATGTCTGTTAAATATGACCTCTAATTCCAGATTCAACTTGTGGTGGAAGAATGAATAGATTTTCCAAAGGTCTGTTGCTGAGTAAATTATGATATGAAAATTAAGATGGTAAAACAGAACTGATTATACTAACATTAAAACATCCTGTCATTTGTTTCAAATAGTAAATATCCTAGCTTAATAAAATCAACATGTTATTAATTAATGTTTCAACAATTTCAGATTTAGACTCTTGTTTTCCTACACTATTCTAAGCCTTGTGGGGAACTATATCTTAATTAAGAAATTTTCAGCAGGCTGTTTTTTTTTTTTTTTAAACACAGTTAATCTTGTCTGTTGTTTTTTTTTTTTTCAGAAAGACTTTATTTAGCAGTAATTCTTTTTCATTTTATAGCATCATTCTTTTTCTTAGAATTTTTACTTTATAATTTTATTTTATTAAGCATATTTTATTTACCCAATTTTATTAAACGTATTCAGTTTTATGACCTCCATAGATAGACAGTTTTCCCAGTGAGTGGACTCTTTAATTATAACTGCAAGAATTTGCCTGTGTTATGTTTTAAGTTTAGGTACTGGCTACTGTCCATCAGTTTTCACAAAGAACAAATAGTGCCTTCTATACGAGTTTTATTTATTTTCCTGATGACTGCTCTTTCCTGAGGAGTGGTACAGTATAACCCAATAAACAGTCTAAGCGCAAACAAACTACATTTATTTAACAAAATTTATTAAATACTTCCATTTATGAGCCAGTTTTGGATGTAGAGATAAGACACAATTCTTAAGTACCCAACTTTTTTGTTATTCTTTTCTAGAAATTTTTGGATTTGTACTGACTTTTATTTTCACTTCCAAATTTTTGTTCTTAATTACCAAGGCTTCATCAACTCTTGGATTCCTACCCTTTCATTGTCAATTGTTACAGTTCTGTCCTTCACAGTCATAAAATTGTGACTCACTATTGGCTCCTTCATTCATCCCTAAAAAAATTATTGAGTGTAGCATTTTTAGATAAATGAATTCTTTTTTAAGTAATAAAATCAGGAAAAAATTACTTTATCTTTACAGAGGACTCTATTCTTTGAAGATGCCCCAAACTCTTTATGAGAATTAAGGGGTCCAGAAATAATGTTATTTTAAGTATATTTATGAAAAATTATAAAATTCATTTTAATAATAACTGCAAAGAGGGAATTGAAAGCAACTATTTTTTTCTCATTATTGCCACTAGCTGTGAGGATTTGGCTATTATTTGGATTATCATTATGTAGAATATAAAATGAGTTCTTGGCTACACATCAGTCATTTTTTTACCACAACCTGTGTAAATAGTGACTCCTTTCAGTGGCAAGATTTTGGAAGGACAACAGATAGAGAAGAGAGATTAACAAGTTTGCACCCTTTCATCACCTGTTCATTTTCAGTGACTACATCTTGCAAGGAAACTTGGCACTAAGTTTTACAGTTAATATTAAATAAATGCCTTTAAAAACCTTTGTGGTATCCACAAACATCAGTGAACATACATAGGTCACATTCTGAATATAATCACTTGATAATAATTATATTATGATCCAGGAAAGAAAATTGTCTCTTCTTCCTTAACAATCTGGTTCATAAATATGTCCATCTAGGAAAACTGATGCTAGAATGACTTTTTTATGCAGATATGCTGAAAATGGAACTGGGTAGAAATAAAAAGTTTGTGTATACTTTGTATATTTTATGTATTCATGTAATTTGGTGTATTTATAATAAAGCTTTCATTTATCAATGTAATTTTCTGCTAATTACATTTGTCACTTGTGAAGCATCTGGGTGGTTCTGTCAGTTAAGGGTCTGACTTTTCGTTTCAGCTCAGGTCGTGATCTCAGGGTCATCGGATTGAGCCCTATGTCGGGCTCCCCTCTCAATGCAGAGTCTGCTTGTTCCTCTCCCTCTGCTCCTCCCCTGACTCTTTCTTTCTCTCTAATAAATAAATAAATAAACAAATAATGAACTCTTAAAATAAAATTTAAAAAAATTTGTCGCTTATACTTACACCATGTAGTCTCCAGATCTAATTTCTCTTTCTGTATCGAATCATCATAAAGCAGTGTTTACTGAGTGTTTATAACGCAGTATCAATTTGCTACAGTCTAAGTACCTAAAAAAGAGCAACCAATAATTTAAATATTGAGAAGTATTATAATTTCCTGTGACAGGGGTGTCCCATATTAGAATTTATTCTTGTTATCATACAATGACACTTGTTACTATACAATGAATTTATAATTGTTACCATACAATGAATATTAAAAAAAATATTAAGTGTCATGCTCTAAATCATAACTCTTCTGATTCTTTCCTCATTTCCACCTTTGAGCCCCTTAACATACTGCGCTGGAAGTGTAATTAGTCTAGAAACTTCTTTCCCACACCATCTCCTTATCTCTCTTTGTCTTCCAGAGATACTGTATCAGTGCCAGAAAGGCCTAAGGAACCTTTGACAGCCAACATTGTGTGTAATTTGAGAAGCACAGGAACTCCATCCAAGGATATTTCTCTCTCCCTTATGTTGCAGTGGCTGACGTTTCCTCATTTTGAATTTTGAAGCCTTTTTAGTTTTCAGAAATTCCTCACTAAAATATAAATACCTCACAGAGAAGTAAGGTTCTACAAAAAGGGGTCATAAGTTAAATAAGATGAGAAAGAACAGTGGACAGAAACTTTGACCATAAAATTCTGCCTTAGTCCTGACCAGGCAAGCCTCAAGGTCTGCCTCCTCAGATGCCCTTTTCCACAGTACACTTGTCTAAGTTTCCAGTCTTTCAAACTCACCCTCCCTGTCTCTGCTTTCTTTCATAGCCAGGCTTCCTTTTCTTGCAGTCACTTCTCAAGTGGTGCTCCTGAGTTCGTCATTCCCACGCTACCGAAACTAAATCCTCTACAGTTACCACCAAAATTCCAATGCAGAGTTAAAGGTCTTCTTGGTTTTGACCGTTCTTGACCATTTCAGTATACTTGATATGGCCACACCTTCTGTGAAACTTTCTTCACTTAAATTCTATAAAATCACCTTCTTCAAGAACTCTTTTTACTTCTCAGATTTAGATCTCTTTAAAAAAATATGACTGAAAATAAATAAAAAAATAAATAAATAAATAATAATATGATATTTGAAAATAGGAGTATCTGTGGTTCCATCAAATCTCCACTCTAGCTTGAGCAATCCCAGACACACAGATTTTGCAGCATTTTTTCTCGGCTAGACCTCTTACAAAAACCCGTGTACCTGCCCATGTATCCAGATGTCACACAGGCACCTCAATTCCCATTACGGGGCTTATTCATCCCACCCTACCTAAGTCTGCTGTTCTCTTAGTATTTCCTCTTTCCTTCTATGATATCATTATGTACCGATTTCTCAAGCTGGAAACCAGAAAAATATGCCCTAGTCTTCTATTTCTTTCTCTCTTCTCCGATTAGTTACTAAATATCGTACATTCTATCTTTGGATGTCTTATATCCATTTCTTTCTTGTCATCCTCATTGTATTCATGATATCAAGCGTGAATTAATAATATTATTTATTCTTATATATTCCTTTTTAGTTGACCCTGGAGCCTCAAAAGTGGTTTCAGATTTAAACCTAATTTTCTCACTTACTTTCCTTTCATGTTTTCCCTTTCCTCTAAGAAAGAGTTCAAAACGCTCTCAGTCATTCATGATGTATCCAGAACTGTATTTGCTAAAGATTGAGTACCCACCTACTATGTGTGTGGGATATGCCATTGGAAGAGTCCTACCACTTATGGTGCCAATATTCTATCAGACCCTCCACTAGTCTCCATTACCTATATATCCGATCATTCCTATACTCTACTCCAGTAATGCCATGTCACCCAGGTTCTCAGAACTTTTTACTCCCATCTTGGTGTATATTTCAGTAATTCTGTTTGCTAGGAATATCCATCTCTAGTCTTTTGTCCCCACATCAGTATAGTGATATTACTTTCCTTCTTTGTACTGATTCTCTTTCCCCCTTCTCACCAAGCTGCTAATTATACCCTCCTTTGAGCCACTCTGTACTTACAGCATTGGGAGAACTGTGATTCTATCTCCCATCCTGACGGCAGTGACATTGTATTAGAGCGTTATTCTAGCCTGTGTGCCTCACACATTAAACAGTGATTACTTTTTTTTGAATGGACATGTAAATGTCTATGATAAGGGTTTCTTGCCAGGTAACTTCATAGGCCTGCCTGTAGAGTTGAGTTTTTCTGAAGTAACATTTCTTCCTTGGGCTTAGGTGCCTGATGCAGTTGAGAATGAAGATGTCATGATTCATGAGATGCTGTTAAAAACTGTTGGGAGGCTTTCTGCTTATGCACATCAATTACCTAATTAGACATCTTTTATTAGATCATGTACCTGCTCTGCCTTCATGTACTATTCCCACAGGATAGTTTGGAAAATGTTTAAATATTAGACTGGAATCACTGTTATAGAAATGTCCTTTTAAAATCAAATACATGTATTTGTGCATGTGTGTGCATATATAAATATTTGTATTTATTCTTCTGTCTTTCTGCATAGTGCAGGTGCTTTGTGATAAGTTTAGCACATCTTCCCCAGACTCAACCTGTTGATGAAAGTCTGTTAACTGTCAGGGAGATTTAATGTAACAGAGAAAATCCTTTATCCTACTAGGAAGCCAGCTCTACACTGTTTCTTGCTGAGGATGAGTCAGAAAAAAAAAAAATTGAAATAAAAAGACACAGAGACCAACTTGAAGCCACAGGAACATATTTCTGGAATGGCAAATGGCATATGCTGGTGCCTGTAAACCAAAAATATGTATTTTATGAATATTAATAATATCTAAGTTTACTTTTGAAACTTATCTTTGATGTTTATATTACTTTATTTATATGAATTTCTACCAGAGCTTTGTAATTTGTTCTGTGAAATGGCCCTGGATTTTTTACACAAACTTTAATGGGAAGTAGCACTTCTTTTCATTTCATGTGTGGATAGACAATAAATTGAGTTGAAGATTTTGAGGGAAATTTCAATAACCTGATTTTACACTTGTGGAAACAAAGACACAAAGACCTTAAGAGACTTTCTTGATGTTAGAGTATTATTGATGGACTCTTCTAGGGCTGCTCCCATTATGCCAACCATAAGATTCGTGGGCATTGTGGTGGGTTTTTTATTTCTTTTTATAATGTCATTAAATCATCAATTAAACTTGTATAATTCCTCTGTGTTGATCAAGGTTCCTACCTGATCCCACTCCCAGCAGCAGAACTAGCCAGCTGTGCCGATTTGGGGACCCTCTGCCAAGGTAGGGAGCCAACATCGTCCTCTGGAGTCTGTTTCCTACTTGCTGTTTTGGATAATGGGGTTGTAATTGTTTTGATTATTATCTTAATTTTTACTTGAGAAGCCAGAAACCAGCAAAACAGAAGAATTTCTGGATGTGTTTTAGTTGTGTGGGTGCACAGTACATACACTGTGGAGAAAGAATGCATTCACATGCTGGATGACCATTTTCCATAAAGGACTGGGTTTTTAAATGTGAATGATTATATGTTATTAAACAAGGATTTATTTCATTTTTTCCTCTTTTTATTCTCAAGAGTATTGCAAAGATCCTGTATAAATATATTCATGCAGTATTTTGAAAAGGTATTCATGTGTAAAAAATAAGGGGAAAATTAAGTTAAATATTCAGTTAAGCTTGAGACAATACCATAAGGCAGTTCATGGTGTACAATATAACTTAAACATTAAGATAAAATTAGTTATATTAAACTAATCTTAATGTAATTATATTATTATAATGCACAATGACTATATTATGGCCAATATTCCAGTTATAAATTATGTACTAAGTAGTTGCATGCAAATAATATATAATTAAAGTTTTAAAATAATAAGTATTTTGCTTTAATTTTATCATTGTTCCTCCTAATTACTTATGACCCATTTTCATCCATTTATTCTATTAAATATTTCTTTACGAAGTAACATGTTCTATGTGCCACATTAAGAATCATGACAATGCCTTTTGAAAAAGCTGGATCTCTTATTAGGAACATCATATCCTGAAAGTAACAGGGGTTAGAAGTGTTTCTAAGTAGTAACCTAAACTCTCTTCTGTGGTTCTAGTGTGGGAGTAGTCAGGAAGAAGGGATGTAATTCAGTATTATGTTTCCTTCTTTTCTGAGACAGTATTTCTCATTATTATTACTGATGAATGATCTATGAAAATAAAGTCATTACAGAATTTCCATGAACTCACTCTAGTCTTGAAATAGTTAAATGAAATAGGAAGAAAACTTAATTTTGCTTAGTTCTAGATCTGAAGGGTTTGTTGTTTTCTTTTAATCTGAGACGCCTGTAGTCCTGATTCCACAGATCAAAGACCAAATGCCCAGCAATTCCCCTTCCCCATGTCCTAAATGGCCAAAAAGCATTTTTAAATTCATTGATGTATTTTACATTAAGATAAATGTAATTGTTCATAATTTAAAAAAAGAAAAACTTCAAAAAGAATACTTTGGAATGGAAAATTATTTTAGTTAAGGATGTATATTTTGAATCAAAGAATTTCACTTTTAGAAGGTAATCATAATCATAATCACTCAATGCATAATCAAGTGAATGTCTTAAATTTAGGTAATATTTTTAAAATTGAGATATATAACAAATGGCCATTGTAAAGCAGACGTGCTAACCGCTACACTATGGAACTGTGTAATGGTCATTGTGTATATGAATGTACATCTAGTACAAACATACTCCTAAGATAAACTAAAGGGAGATTGTGTGTATAGTTATTTTACTACCTATACAGCTCCTCCAGAATCCCTTAGAAAGATAATAAAGCATTCTATAAGGGTTTAATCTTTGAAAGTTTTAATAGTATAAGAAGCATAGCTATGACATCATGCCTTGAAAAGGTCTCCCCTGTAAGGCTTGTTCTTATGAAATCCATTTTATCCATCAACATTTAGTAGAGTTATTGGGATCTGTAAACGATTCTACACATTTATATGCTATATAGTCTATACATTTCATTCTCGTTTGTTTTTCTTTACATTTATCTTCTCAAGGAGAAATACGTTTTCCTCGGAGACTATTTCTCTAGTCTCAGTGGAAGACTAACTTAGTTTAGATAATTTCTCAAACTGATAGGTGCAATAAAGACTGCCTTCTCTAAACTTTTCTTTTTACGAACTTTGGAAATTGAGTTCTAGAAAGATTTAGTAATTCACTATGTGGTCATCAGTCTGTTACAGGCAGACCTGGGTCTAGAATCTCAATGTTCTTCCTCCTTTGCGTTGGTACCAGCTCCATGCTCTTGCACAACGTGACCCCAGAGGTCATATGAAGTGATTCTTAATGTGCCATAGGAAGCATTGCTTCATTTTATGCATTGTAACCCTAGAGTCTGTTGTATTTAGTAGCAAGAAATGGTTTCTATTCCTCCTCTGTATATTTTCATGCATTAATTGTAGATTGCTCATCCAAATTAACTGTCATTTGCTCCTTGCAAAATTACATCTTTCTCATCTTTATTACCAGCTACTGTAGACTCTTCTAGTACTACACCACCCACTGTCACCACTAACATGCCTGTTACTAATAGAATCGCTAAGCAAAGCAATGGTAAGAAATCATTACCTTTTTTATTTGTAGTATGTCGATGTAATAAAAAAATTGTCTTCTAAGAGTGGAAAATCTAATGTTCAAACAAAATTTCTGTTATTGGACTCAATCGGTACATTTATACATTTGTAAAGATTAGTAAGAGAAATAAATATTACTTGACTCCCTTGAGTTCCTTATTCTGATGACCAGTGGTATGAGTACATTTCCAGTACTACTCTTGTCCACTTTTAGCAAAAACTGCTTTCAAAGGAAGCGTTAAGAGAAAAACATTTAATTAAAAGGGATTAATTTGCTTTATACTAGATATCTGAAAAAGTATTCATGGTATTTTGTCAGATTATACACTTCAGGAAACCAGTTTCTTAAAGAATTTTATAATTTCACAAAAACTAAATTATGTTAGTAATGTAATTTCTCACTGAAACCAACTTTAAGTGTTCATGACATTTAGATCTATTTATATGATAATACTTTGCTCTCCGTTTTTATTTGTTGAAGAATAATGGTTAGAATATGATTGCATATCAACTAAGTCAATTTTCAGCTGATGAAATTTCAATTTAAGTGTCAATACTTCTTGCCTATTTTTCCACATATACTCTTTTATTTATATTTTTTGTAATTTGTAAATAGGGCTGATATATGAGATACAGAAATGAGCAGGGAAAATGCCAGGTAATGTGAGTTATTTTTAGTCTGCCACCTATATGGACTACATAGCCTTGGTAATTCAGAGTAAATGGTTTAAGTCCCTCCTAGAAAAGAGAAATTCCAATCAGGTGACCACACCATTGCCTTGCCTACAGTAATATTCTCAAATATGAGCTATTAGAAACAAAGGAATTTTCTCAACCCCAATCATTTAACTTGTGAGGCCAAAACATCTGTACTATATCACCAGGGACCAAAACCCAGAGAAAAGAAACCCACATAGCTCATTTTTTCTTTGGCTTCAGGGGTTACACCAACTTCCTCTGTGAGGACATTTAAATTGGAACTATGGAATATTTTACATGCAACAAAGATATAAATTTCACTAGGGTTATGAAGACATCGATTCAGGGAAGTGTTTATGGTTTTTCTGGTAGTTGCACCAAGGAGATTTATGACAGGGCAAACATTCCAGCAACCCCCAGGAAAGCAGTAGCAGCCGACGTTCCCAGTGCATATTTCACATGGACTCCAGCCAGTGGATGGGAATATTATAATTCTAACTAAGTATTTCGCTCTTTGTATGAATATACAAAGAGCCTCTGTGGCATTCTCCCTCTAGGACAGGCACATCCTCTACTGCCCAAGAACGTTTATACGATGCTTCAGAGTCCTTGATTTGGTGGAGTGGAGCTGTATTCACTCAATCATGTAATTTCTGACATTCTTGAAGAGAGCCTTGTTCAGCCATCTCTCTCTGCGTCATAATCTTCATTGGAGTTTCAACAAAGCAAGCAAATGTTAGACTCAGTTAAAATGGCTTGACTTGACTACATTAAAGGGAAAAATGCAATTTAGATGATTCTTGATTTAAAAAAAAAAGTAATCCTAGCATTTGAAATTACTCCATAGTCATCATGTGGTAGAAATATTCTCAAAACTGTGTATTCAAATCTGCGTACCATCAAAATACTTTTTGCCACATCCTCGAACGATCTGTACTATTGATTTAATAGTTTTAAATCTAAATTGACTCACGTTTTTATTTAAACATATGCATTTATATGGGAAAATCGATATTGCTCTTGTAAAATCAGTAGTTTGTTGTAAAACAGAAATGAAAAGCAAGAATAAGTGTAATGAAAACAATGTTATTGAATTTTCTCTATATCCTATTGCTTTCTCATATCTCTATGCCTGAAGACTTCATTATCTTTTTAAAAAAGGGAGAGTTAACGAAGAGTTAGAGACAGACTATAATATTTTTTCTTTGATGTATCAAATTAGAAATAATTAGAAAGAGAATTACTTGTTCACGTTGTGAATAAATGGGATTTAACGTCATGTCCTAGACTATCTAAATCATTTATATACTGTCAGCAATTCCAGATACACTTTTCTTATTCCTTGGGAAGCTCACTCAGGCTTACGATCTGATATATCAGAAAATCCTCTTTCATTATTCACTGTAAGAAAGATAGGTACAACTATCAAATTTGGCATCTAACTTATCCAGTCCTTTAAATTCTGGTTTATTGAAGAGTTTTGCTGGGTCTATCAGTGATGATATGCTGGTATGGGGAGGGGTGGAGGTTGTGACTGTTTGATAATCAGACATATTTCTTCAGTGTATCCATAAAATTTCTTTTCCTAAACTTTATGAAGTATTCCTGTTTCTCTATGGAAAGTTCTTTTTGTTATCTTCAATATGACTTGTATCTGTTGCCTCAGTTTGTATACTAGGAAAATCATATCTTTAAGTTATTTTTCATGAACAGATATTTCAATATGGGATGGATAATCTAGGTATTCCCACAAATAACTTTTGAGCCTTTTCCATTATACTCTTAAGGAGCACTCTTGGGCCAATTATTATTTGCCTACTAAATTGTACTTTCTGTGCTTGAATCATCACTCCAGTGCTACTGAATATTAAATCTTGTGGGGTCAACACAAGTAACCCAAGTAAGGGAATAACTCCGTTAGTCCTTATTATTGTTCTAAAAATCTAGCTTACATGTATTAATTACATCACTGCTTCCAGATTCTTTTTTTTTCAAAGATTTTATTTATTTATTTGACAGAGAGATCACAAGTAGCCAGAGAGGCAGGCAGAGAGTGAGTGAGTTTCCGTCTGCTGAGCAGAGAGCCCGATGCAGGGCCCGATCCCAGGACGCTGGGATCATGACCTGAGCCAAAGGGAGAGGCTTTAACCCACTGAGCAACCCAGGCACCCCATGCTTCCAGATTCTTGACATATGTTTAACTATTCAAAAAACATATGTTTAACTATTCAAATAAAAAAAATTTCTGTGGATGTGTGTATAGATTGGACAATCAATCTAGCTTTGGATGCCAGTTACCTAAAGAAATCATGTGTGTAGAATGAGCAGAACTCCAGTCATATTATAAATCCAACTGTCATGTTATAGTGACCTCATCACCAGTTCAAAGATATCATTTTGACTCTAAAATAACATTTGGTGTATATTATAACATCTCTCTTTTCAAACAAATGTTTTAAAACCTACCTTTTCAAACCTATGTTTCACATCCTTGAATATAGAATAAATACATAGTGTCATTTCTATGTCTCCTAAGAAACCCTGGAAAGAATGCTAAGAAGGACCAAAAAAAAATGATTAATTGGAGAAAGACCTATTGACAGGAATATACTGTTTTGACACCACATCTATAATGGCAAGCAATGATTTCTACTTTAAGGTTCTACTTGATTGAAAGAGTCCTTTATTGGAAAATGGGTATGCTTGTAAATTTGTCCACCCACCATGCCCCCCACCTTAAGAAATGTCTATCATGAATTCTTTTGGCTTGGCTGTCATTATTAGGACAATACATATATTTTTTGAAGTCTCTGGAATATATGAAAATGTATGACTAGCGTTTCTATTGAGACCCTGTGGGAGTTGTTACACCTATAGAAGACCCCTTGACTGCTGGGATGACATGGGAAAGCCTGAATCATTATGTCTTAATTGTGCATTTTCTGCAACAGCAATGCTTAAGCCAGGTATTTTGCTGCAATCCAAAACCCTTCCTACCAGTTCTTTGGTGGACATTTTATCTTGTTTTGACAGTTCACTCCTGGACTTGTTTGCCTACATTATTCAGAAATTTTAAATAAGTATAACAAGTAGACTCCCGAGTATATAAATGCCCCATTCCGAGGCTTCTGAATGGAGATTACTTGAAAATGACCTATAGCATAAGAGAATCTGTAACATGTTACATTTTTCTCTGTGTTCACGTTTTATTTGCTGTAAGCAATTTAACTCTAGGGAGAGTGCTGTATTTATATATTGATTTAGGCTGTCTCTGATATTGGATGTCTTTTTCATTTATAAATAACAGCAGATTGGGGAAAAAATGAGGCAGGAAATATTTAAAATTTAAAGAAGAATATCTTAAATGTTTCCAAAACATTACAGAAATGTCAGTAATAAAAAAAAATAATGAGTTTTAGTATTTTGCAATATTTTCCTGAGAGGGAAAGAACACTACTCTTAAACACATGCTTTTGGTCTCCATCTAGTGGTTGCTTTTCAGCTCCTCTGCTGACACCGGGGATACACAGGATACCCTTAGGATCCTGGAATATTTCTTGGACGTCTGCAATTTGGATTTCTCCTCAGTCACTCAGAATGTCCATGATTTGATATGATGACATATACTGTGTGATAAAGGTTTTTTTTAATCTGAATTAATATCATTTGTTTTGAATATACTCCTCTAAATATTTTAAATTCAGAATATTTTGAGAGGAACATAAAATCAATCATTAAAATACTTGGTGAGCTTTAGAAGCTAAATAACCTAAATAAGCTAAATAACCTAAATAACTTTAGAAGCTAAATAACCTAGTCTGCATAAGTTAAACCCACTTGTCCTTGGACTTGTGCAAATTTCATGTATTTATATTATTACATCGGGGAGTGGAAAAATTTTTAGCATGAGATTCTGACCCCATAATGGAAAAGCATTCCTTTAGTAGTGTGACTGGAATTTCCATTTTGATAGATTATAGGGGTTTCTGGAGTCAGAGTTTTATATTTTTCTACTGACTTCCCAACCTTTTTATTACATCTCTTCCCCAACATTGTTTTAATTATATATTTCTACATTTTCTGTGCATACTTTACTTAAGATATACTTAAGATATACCAAACTATAAGCATGAAGAAAGATGAATGACAATAACAGATATTCAATTTTTTTCTCTGTATAGCCTATGATATTTAAAATGATATATTTTTTTTATTAGCTGCTTATAGTAAGTCACCCTCTAACACACTTCTAGAGAGATTTAGCAAAGCCTGGCTGGTAACTTCAATTTACCAGACAACTCAATTTACATTTACAAAACATATATATATATGTTTACAAAACATATATATATATGTTTTGTAAATGTAAATTGAGTTGTATAAATTGAGTTATATAAATATATAAATATATATATTTATATATATATAAAGGCTACTTTAAAGATTGTCCCAAAAAGAAAAAGGCAGAACTTTCCTTTCCCATAAGATTTTCTTTCTGAAGCAACTTAGCCCAGTTAAAATTCTATCTGCAAATATTTTTTCTTTTCCCCCTTTACTCTGATACAAGCAACTATATTTATGGAATTTTGATGAAATATTTGGTAAATGAGTAGAAGTAAATGCTATATTCGGGAGGGGAAAGAGAAAAAGAAGAATAAGGGGCCAAGGGCACCAAATATATGTATGCTTATTCTTTTTCAGGTTAACTTCGTCCATCATCCCACTCAAGTTTTCATATCCCAAACTCTGTTGTTCCTTATAGTGTACAAAAAAAAAAATGATAATTGTTATAAGAGCTCAATTTGTACATGAAAAAGTCATGAAAAAATTTTAGAATTCTATATCCAAAATCCATAGAATTAAAGAAACATGTAGGTGATAATTGCAAGACAATGAATTATTTATAAGAATAAATTAATTGAGAACTCTTTCTAAGAAGTTACAAAGGTCAATAAGCATAACGTCAAAATATCTCAAATTTTCTGTACCTATGTAGAAGGTGTTCTGTTCTTTTTAGTTTTTTTTTAAATTGAAGTGTAGTTGACAGACAGTGTTAAGGTGTACAACATAGTGATTCAACAAGTGTGTGTGTTATGCTGTACTCACTACAAGTATAGCTACCATCTGTCATCACACAAATGCTATTACAATGCCGCTGACTATGTTCTCTGCACTATACATTTTATTATTGTGACTTATTCATTCCTACTGGAATCTTTATCTCCCAAAAAAGCCATTTCTTTTAAAGTGTTTAAAATTGTGTGATTGTAAATTTAAATTGGGAATTATATAACTGTAAATTATAATTAATGGACTAAATCCTATTTCCAATGAACAGATGGAATTGTCTATAGAATTTCCATAGTGATGCAAAATATCCTTGGTCACCCTGAGGTTAAAGTGCAGAGCAAGATAGCAGAATGGGTAAGTGAACTTGTACAATTTCTTCTTTGATTTGAAAACTTTAACCTCTGGAAATCTGGAAGGGACTCTGCTGTCTGGGTAACTGAGTCCACAGATCACACTAGTGCATAGACACTGTTCCTTATATATACTAAGAATAGACGTAGAAGTGAGGTGTATGCTGATTTCTAGAAAGGGAGGTGCACTTGAATCAAGGACAAGCCTAATAGACGATTAATATCTAAGGAAGAAAAGTACCACACAAATAGAAATATATTTTCATAGATATCTTTGTTTACTACTATATCCTTACATTTTCAGCAGAGCTTTAAAAAACAGATTATATATCTTTAATTTAATTGTTTGAATGTTTGATTCATAAACCAAAAAGCATAACAAAATATATCATGAAAATATTTTACCCATTCCTGTAGCTCATCTCCCTGGAGACCAACCCATCTGCTTAGAAATCACTGTTAATTTTTCTTATTTGTTTTTTTCCCCCTGAATTTCTTTGTGCATATAAAAGAAAATAAGACTATAGATTCCTTTTTTCACTCCTTTTTACACTAAAAACATATTTTGTATACCATTCTACACTGTACTTACTTTCATTATTGTCAGATTTATATTGTAAGTGAGCAGAGACCTTCCTTTTTTTTTTTTTTTTAAATGGTGCATAGTATTCCATTATGTGGCTACCTGCTCATTGATTTCCCAAGTCTTCTGTTGTTGGAGATTTAGTGCATACTAATTTATTTAATCAGTATTATATTAATGAAAATTTTTGTAATTTCCAGTAAAAAGAAAACAACCTCAGTATTTTATTTTTTTCTTGTCCTTACAGATATCACCTATTTTTTTTGTCTCCATAACAAAAATTTCATTTTCCATAGGTTTCTTTTTTCTTTTTTCTTTTCTGTCTACAGCATACTGTGAGACTTTGTACTGCTTTTTATGTGTAATACTACTATAGTCTTAACACTGAATAAAGTCACTCTAGTATACATTTTGTGAAAGACAGGTTTTCTTATGCAGAAGGTATCTAGTAAGCATGCCCTTGGTAGCAAAACAAAGTTAAATCATACATTGAGATGTAGAGGTGACGGTCTCTCTGTCTGTCTATCTATCTATCTGTCTATCATCTATCTATCTATCTATCTTTGAAGAATAACTTAATATAACAATACAGTCTTGTTTTGAAGGGTCTGTAGTAAGAAAACTCCTATTCTCAATACACTTTAAAACAGGTTAACATAGGAAACAATCATATGGATAGAACAATTCTATTATAAAATTGAGAGGAGCAACATTAATAGAAGTCAATGAAAAATGCTGCTGTTGACTTTTTGGACTGACATATTATAGTCAGTAATTAATTCAAACACTGGGAGATATATTTCATTTCCAAATGGAGGGCAGCCTTACATAAAGAGCCTATTCTTTTTTAAAATTTAATTTAATTTAATTTAATTATTTATTAACATATAATGTATTATTTGTTTCAGGGGTATAGGTCTGTGATTCATCAGTCTTAGACACTTCACAGCACTCACCATAGCACATACCCTCCCCAATGTCTTGCAACCCATTTACTTCCAAGGATTCTTTTTGTTTTAAGTCAGAATGATTAAAAAAGATAAAAAAGATACAAGTGGCTCAAATAAGCCACTACTAATATTATTAATCTGGGAAATTAACATTCACTGGAGAGTCTGTGCCTTAGGTAGCATATATAATTTTACATTTATATTTATTACATGCGTAGTTTTCAATGTAGCTTCATTCTCATCTGAATCTAAACTTTACTGGAAATTTTTCATTTAGGATGAAAGATACCAAAGCAGATGCTTGATACTAGAGAAAACACAAGTAGTGTTCCTGATTCATATTATTGCTGTTTTAATTTTAAAATAATTTAATTCTTTTTGTCCGCACCTTGTAGAATTTACATTCAACTTTAAGAATGTTTGCAAGGAAGGCTAACTGTTTTTATGAAATAAGACCTAAAAAACCCTTTGAAAGTGATACAGAAATAGGAAGATTTCATAACAGTAAAGATACCCCATTTGTGACCGTATTGGACAGTGCGTCATGGGAGGTTGCTGTTTATATGAAGAGGAATCCATAATCCATTGCTTCTTTAAAAAGTCTGGTGCTAGAGGAGATGCAACATGGGGGGTTAAGGGGGTAGGAGAAGAGTAAATGAAACAAGATGGGATTGGGAGGGAGACAAACCATAGTGACTCTTAATCTCACAAAACAAACTGAGGGTTGCTGTGGGGAGGAGGGTCGGGAGGGGGGGTGGGGTTATGGACATTGGGGAGCGTATGTGCTAGGGTGAGTGCTGTGAAGTGTGTAAACCTGGCGATTCACTGACCTGTACCCTTGGGGATAAAAATATATTATATGTTTATTTAAAAAAAAGAAAAAAAAGTCTGGTGCTAAGACCTATAAGACTATTAAATAACCCACATAATAATTAACATAGTTCCCAATAATATTGAACTCATTTTGTTTGTTTTTTAAAGGTTTGTGTTGTTAATTTGTAATTCTTCTTACTAATATCCTTATGAAGTGATACTAGAAAAATATGTGTTATTGTACCACAGTGTTTGTTGAATGAAGAATATAGAAGGTGTTTATTGTGCTTATCCTCCTATGTAGCCCTCAGTGTTATGGCTAATTCAAAGAACCACTAGAGTGGGGCCCATTATAATATGGACTAGAGAGGAAAAGTATAGTGTTTCCAGACAAACATACTTGGATTCTAATCTGGGATCTGCTACTTCTTAGTTGGGGACATTGGGCAAGCTGTTTCCTCTCCATGAAGCTCAGTTTCTTCATCTATAAGGGTTGGGGAACAGATAATACCTATCTCATTAGTCATTGTGAGATCGAAGAAACCACCTTTGTAAAGTTCTTGGCATATTATGATCCAGTGAATGTTATTTTTACCTTTCTTTCACTCCTCTGGCTCTCTGGGATTTTCCCAGGGTCTTATTCCAATAACAACTTATCTTTTGGGAGGGAAGAAACTAGATTCAGATATTTTTTAGAAAGTATTATCAGAACTCACCCTTTTCCATTGTATTTTTCAGCTCAATTCAACCTTCCAAAATTGGAACTACACTGTTTTTGTGGTTAATATCAGGTAAATGACAGAATGAATGATTTGAAAAATAAAAAGTAGTGTCTAGTTTAATGCTACTCTTCATCTCTCTGACTATACCCCACACACATGACACCAGTACACACGTATACATACACCATATTTATAGTCTTTCTGAAACAACTCTGTATTATATCATTTCTTTGCATAAAAATCTTCAGTGCTTCAGCAATTGGTTTTAATTTTCTTTTGATCATGGATCCCAATCTTTTTTTTTAAAAAACTAGTATGTATTCCCAAAATATATTTGTGATTTTGTGATTTTATTTAAAATCTGTGTCTTACTTAACCAATACATGTTAGAAATATATTACAAAATATAACAAGATAATCAAGTATATGTAGAAGTTCTGTTAGTTTCATTTCACACCCCAGTGAACCAGTGATAGCACCGCAGTTTGGAGACTGTTTTTCTGCAAGATAAGACACTTACACTCTGCACCTAGCTTTTCAAAAATATATTTTACTATTCTATTAAAATACTTGCACTGACTAGTAAATAGTATCTTCCACATATCCTCCTCTGCAACTTGCATTCACAGTTTCAAATTCGTTTTCAAAAGTGTATGTCATTACCCCTAGATAGATATTCTGTGAACCCAAGAGACATCTAAGTTAACACATGAAAAGGGATCCCATGTTGAATTAGCTCAGGAAGTACATTCTTAAACAAACTGAAGCAGATTTCTATAAATCCAAATATCTCAGATTATTTAGTATAACCAACATGGCATCATGAGTCGTGAAAAGAGAACAAAAGAGAAAAAGCGCACAGCTGCCAAGCTTATTTACAAAGGAGCCATTTGATCTCGGGCATATGAAAAGAACTGGAACCTCAGGACACACGCTGGAAATACTGGCTTAAAATGTTCATTTTGCCTCTTTCTTTTACCTCCTCAAATTTTGTTGCTGATGATGTGGCAGATGAGGTTGATAATGAATATACATATTGTATTTATAGTTTTCACCTGAACACGGGAGAGGACAAGATTAAAGTCAAGAGAAGCATTGTGAATGATCAAAGGTAACACTGACAAAGTCTTACAGAAAGTGTAACATCCTTTCTCTAGCTCTTTGTTTTGACTGGTAGAGAAGTGAAAATAATGAGATGAGAGAAACATTTTAACAGGTAATGCTTTTAAGTTATCTCCTTAACACTGGCATACTAATTTTTTTTTCCCTTGTGGTCAAAGGCATCAAATAGTAGAGTGGATAGAGATGTACATCTGATGAAAAATAATTCAGAAGTAGAACACTTAAAATGTATGAGTTATTATTTTTTGTATTTTTAGTTTACTTACGATAACCCATTACCTCTTAATTGAAATTTCAAAAAGACTGTCAAAGAAAAAAAAGATAGTTACAGCCTTAAGTAAGGTACTTATGTACAGTAGCATCTAACAATATGGGTAATAGTTAATTTTTGGAAGTGTCCATTTTAAAATTTTAAATCAAGATGATGACTTAAGCAAGCAGGTAATTTAACAGATCTGTCCTACAGATTCAGCTGGCATATAAAGGCCAACTGTTCAGAGTGCTGTGTAATTTAAAAAAACTTAAACTCCTAAATGAAGTAAATTTAGTTGTGTTCAGGTAGTCTATTACTTTTCCAAATAAGAGAAAAGGAAATAGTTGAAAGGCAAAAGTTCAGGTAAGTCTGGCTCTGTGTCAATACACTGAATTAATTTTACAGATTTAACCATAATGATGGAATATCCTTCTTTTCAGGTGATATACTCTTACCAGGAGAAGATAAAAATAGAATTTCATATGAGAGTTGACCAGAGAGTTTCTTCTTATTTTTTTTTCTTTTTCTGTTTAATATTAGGAAAGCAGATGTGTTTAAGTTTTAATAGAAACTTTTCATTTTGGTATGTATTCAACAGATTGGCTCGAGCTATCTGATGAGGGAAATTTGTTTATCTTCTTTGTTCTTTTTCCTTTATGATCTGAAGAACAGAATAATTATTTTAATACTATACTCTTGATGGTGACAGGACTTTTCTATTTAGCCAAATCATTTTTTTTTTCCCTAACCTGTGCTGCTAGGTCATGTTGAGCTTTGAATAACAGATCAGAGATATGGATCCCTTTGCTGAACACTTTGTCTAATAATTGAGGCAGCCATAGTTTGGGGTATCACCAGTCGTGAATCCTCTTCAGGAAGTCAGCAGTGCCCTTTTTAGTGGACCTTCTATGATTCTTCTACTACCCGGTAATACTGAGTCAGCCATCTTTAGTGTACATCAGTACCTCAGAAACTCTTGCTTGAAAAACATTTAAATTCATGGACTCTCCGTCTCTGTCAAACCAACAGGCAATTTTACAGAAAATTAGAGGGAGAGGGAACTAAGACCATGTATATGGGAAAGTCCACATGTTTAGTTTTTCTTCGGTATGAATCTTTGAATCTTTGTCTCAAAATTTTTTGAAATTATTTAAAAGCCTATTGTTTAAGCATGTTTTAATGATTTTTGAATTGTTTTAAAATGTATTCTTATAGTCTTTCCCTTTTTTTCTCCTCTCTACACTCATTGATGAATCTTTGTAGTCCCTCATAGTTTTTCTTAAAACCAGACTCTATTAGTTTTATACACAAACTTTTTTCCAAACTTTTCCTTCTATTTGGTTGCAACACTTAACATAGACCATAACCTCAGATAATGCTATCATCCTCTATTGCCTGGACAGACAGGAAACCAAAGCTGCAGAGACGGGTTTATTCAAATAAAAGATGATTGATGGTAACAACCAATGAAACTTTGTGGAACCATAAGGGAGTTTCAGTTTTCAGGATGAGAGAGGAAAATACAGAGATAAGACCAGTGAAAATGCGTGGCCGCTCTTGAATTGCTGAATTTGGGTATTCAGGATTATCACAATGCATCGTGCTCATTGTGTTCTCAGTATTCAAGAGAAGTAAAAGGTCATGCTCCCAACACGAAGCTCTCAGTAACTGGAGTGGCAAAGCTTATCTTCCTACAATAATTTAATCAGAGGATACTTTTCCTATGCCACTTAAAAAATCATTATCACAGTTCACCATTCTTTTTACATCTGTGTCTTGCTCAACCTGAAGTATGACTTATATGTGAACAGTGGGGAGTAGATCATTTTTGAGATAAATAGCTTTTCGGACTGAATTATGAGAACAGTCACACTTTGTCTTTGAAATTAACACAGATATTTAGGGGGGAAATGGAGCCCTTCTTTAATTTCACCTAGCCTTGAATAGCATAGATTTCATTTAGTCTTTCATTTTTTAGCACCACAAATATATCAGTATTCGGTTTTATTTTTATTGACACCTATATAATTTTATAAATACAATATGTCATGCCTCTCTACTGGCAATACTTATTTCAAAAGCAGCATTATTATGTTGAATTTGGCGTGTTTTGATTTCTGCTATTGACTCTATGATTATAGTGAAACAGAAAATTATGTTATTTCAAAATGTAGAACCAAAAGTTTTGGTGGGATTTTTAGGATACACCTCTGCTTCTCATAGAAATATTTTCTTTTTAAAGACATTCAAGGTCAGACAGTCTATAAACTCCTTCTGTAATACCCCCGCAATCACCATGTATATTTTAAGTATTTATTTTGTAACTTTTCACCATACAACATACTTGCAATGCTTCACAGAGATGGAAAATCATTATCACTATTCTGGAGAAATTGTTAACACATTTGTAAACAATAACACCCTTAATAATTTTAAAGTCAAATGATCAGTTTAGTCAGATTCGTTGGAGCTTAGCTTTTCTAAAAAAACTTCATTTTTGGCTCTAAAGAAACAATGACTAATTAACCACAAGTATGATACTTTCTTGCCTGTATGCTATAAATATTACTTAAAATAGTTCTTAAAAGAAATGAGGTGATAGTGATATGATATGATAGAATTATACAGGAGATATATATATATATATATATAATCTATTCATACTGAGATTTTTTTTTAAAGATTTTACTTATTTATTTGACAGAGAGAGATCACAAGTAGACAGAGAGGCAGACAGAGAGAGAGAGGGAAGCAAGCTCCCTGCTGAGCAGAGAGCCCGATGCGGGACTCGATTCCAGGACCCTGAGATCATGACCCGAGCTGAAGGCAGCGGCTTAACCCACTGAGCCACCCAGGCGCTCAATACTGAGATATTTTTAACATTATAATTTATGTAGCCACAGGAGTCTCTGAGTGCCTTGGCCTATTTCTCCTGTCTCAACCCTTCATGTCATCCCTCTTACTACCATATCCAAATGTCCTTCTTTTCCACCAACAAAAATCAAACAAACAAAAAAAAAACCAACCAACCAATCAGCAATTCCAATAATTACATCTGAAACCTTTTTCTAGGTTGGTGATTTTGGCCCTTCTAGTTTACAATGCTACCAACAATGCCAATTTAGAAGGAAAAGACATTGAACGGAAGCTCTTAAAAAATAACGAGTCCCTGGATGAGGGCTTGAGGCTGTATACAGTGAGTGTGAGGCAACTGGGTAAGTGCCTTTAATTTTTTATGTGTATTTTATATAACTTTTCAGGTTTATTTGAAACAGCAACAACAATATTCTTCCTCTGTGCATTGTTTGCTTATTGAAAACTATTCTTTCTGATGATGATGTTCATCATATTGGTGGCGTAGTAACAGGTGGGTGACATGGTTCACATCAGAGATATCAACACATGTGAATCTAAAGGAATGAAAGAGGTAGAGGAGAGTTTACACTTTATTTGGGGGACATATTCTGGAAAAACTAAGAATATGAGCAAAGTGCCCATTTAGACTTGATCAGAATTGACTTTAGCTTAAGGAATAAAGAGTGTATATGTGGAACTAGAGGTTATTATACTAAGCGAAATAAGTCAGACAGAGAAAGACAATTATCATGTGATCTCTCTGATTTGAGGAATTTGAGAGGCAGCGTGGGGGAGTCATAAGGGGAAGGGAGGGAAAAATGAAACAAGATGGGACTGGGGAAGGGAGACAAACGATAAGAGACTCTTAATCTCAGGAAACAAACTGAGGGTTACTGGGGTGGGGTGGGGCGGGGAGAGGGATAGGGTGGCTGGGTGATGGATATTGGGGAGGGTACGTGCTATGGTGAGTGCTATGAATTGTATAAGACTGATGATTCACAGACCTGTACCCCTGAAACAAATAGTACATTATATGTTAATTTAAAAAATATATATGTGGATATATGGGAACTCTAATGAGGTAAATCTTAGAAAAGGCAGTTTCTTATTAGAAAACTTCTCTTATGCTTCCCATCTTCATTAATGATAGCACTGAATTCACAGGAATAGGTAAAATATGGGACTTAGCCCAGATTTAGAATCAGTTCTTACCTAGACGCCATTTGCATGTGGAGCTCCAACCACACATGTGTACCTCTGCAGACATGCCATGCTCCTTGATGCCTTTCTGTGTCTTGCCCACATGGCTCTTCCATACTCCCACCCTCTACTTGATATCACACCATTGTTTTAAAGACAGCCCAAAGTTGTCTTTTCTGTGATGTGTTTTGTGACATCATGATGATGTTTTGTGACATCAGTGCCTTTGAGCATCCACTTCCTGCTTTCTGGATCCCTAGAACACTGGACAAATTAGAAGACCATAATATTTGACTGGACTTATTTACGTTCTTATGGATATTTTCTTTAAACAGGAATCTCCTCTGGCTTGAGAACACCTCTTAGTTTGTTTGTTTTTTTAATCACCCTCACTTCCCACCTGCCCTATGAACATCCAGCACATTCCCTATCACTTAAATACTTGAAAAAATAAGTGAATGAGGTTTGATGTAAATATTTTGGAAAAATTAATGGTCACAAATATGGACAACCAGAAGTGAAGTTATTATTGTAATGTTATATAATTATGTTATGATTAAGCATATTAATAGAGATCAAGAGAAATAAAACTGATACTTTTCCTGATACACGCACAGTAGGCTAAGGTGAAGGAAGCAAGTATTTCTCAGTTTCTAAGAGGCTGATTCCCACTGAGGCCAGAATCCCGGTGTGATAGAGAAGCAGGCGTCCCTGCTTCGATAAGGAACTACCCATATGTAATGTGTCCACTTACACAACTGCTGAGAACTCACAGAGGTGGTGGAATGCCAGTCATCATTATGGATATCATCCTCGTGAACACTTTCTCAGCCTCTGTGGGAAAGTGCTTGCTTATTAACAAATGGGGCTTCATGAGGCTGGAGAGAGTGCACATGCTACCTTTCACAAATGAGTCTCCATGAGGAAGTGGCTTGATGAATGGTGGATTATATATGACAGGGTAGCTCTGTGAGGGTCAGCCAGCTTCATCTCTGTTCTAAGGAGCTGAGGAATTCCAGAAAACTCTCTGCATACCTAGACATATAATTTATACGACTTAATTTAAAATTCTGTGCTTTATTGTTTTTCTCGAACTGGGGCTATGAGGAAAAGTTCCTACCAATTGAAAATATTAAGAACAAACCCTGGTGATGTTAAGGTTTAGAATGTGTAGATGGGAAATTTCTTTAAATATTTGGTTGGTAACTCTAATAGCAGTTTCCAATAGTCTGGTTTAACTTGCTATTTTTCTGTCCTGAAATGACATAATTTTGTTGTCATTAATATATTGCTTATATTTGAAGTATTTTTAAAATCATAAAATCTGAATTACTGATGTCATGACATTTGCCCAGAAGAGTTTTCCAGCAACAGGTGGGATGATTTGAGGAAGAGGGCATGTGCAAGAGGCCTGTGATGCTGGTTCATGGGTCTCCTCTTGACATCCCCCCAGCAAACTTCCAGGCAATAGATGCTTTCAGAACAGCTAGAAAAGTTTTCCATAAAATATGCTTACAACTCAATGACAGCACAATTAATGCATTACTTTATAGGGTTTCACCTTTGGAAAAAGATCATATTTTGATCTTCAAAAATCACATTTTGAATTTTTCAGGATCATCATTGCATGCAGTGTTTATTTTTTGAATATATCTTTATCTTACTCATTTTATTAGCTAATGATGTGTATTAGAATAATGATGCATGTTTTATGATTATACTTACTTAAGTGTGTGGTTTGATTTGAATAATTTTTGTATCTGAAATGTACTAAATATTTATTGTTCCTGATTTCTAAATTTTTACAAATTCTGACCATAAAAAACTGGTACTTTAGTATTACATGAAATAAATACCTAAGTACCAACACCATCATTTTCTCTCATCTTTCAACCCTAACTTCAAAGAATAGATTAACATGTCCATGTTGGCTTTTATTTTCATGTAGGTTTTTGTCTTGCTGATGAGGATCCCAAAGGCTATTACTGGCCAGACATCCAACCTTCTGTATACATCCAACCCTGTATAGGGAAACAGGGCTTTTTTGCTTCACGGACATGGTAATGCTTTTATTGAATCTTGCTAGTAGAGCTCCACAGTACCTACCTTCCTGGGTTACACAGGCTACACGATAGCTCCCAGGCATTGCATATTGATTGGAAAGATGGGCAAGAAAGTCTGTGAATACCTAAATCACACAGTTCATGGAGGGTAAAGAGGCAGGTAGGTTACGCAGAGAAGCCTTTTGACTCCAAGCACCGTGATGATTTAAGCCTTCTCCAAAGAAAGATGGGAAAATCTGGAAACCATAGGGTGATTCTAGAGCAAGCATGTGGATGAACGGCACTAACCCACAGCTTTGGAATATGCATCTGAAATTCCAAAACTTTTAAACAGTTGGAAATGATTATTGTTGGAGTGAAAAGAAGCAGAAAAAGAGGGAATAAATTCAGGGTTCAGGTTGGGCTGCTAATGCAGGCTGTCAGGGAATAGATTTTTCCGAAGAGTTTAACAAAAACCCCAGACACAGGTTGACCACAGAGGATTCACTGACTACTAAGACCAGCCCTTCACCCTCCGCCTCACCCCCAGTTAGAGTTTTCTCGCAGGGACAGAAGGGGTCAGCAATGGAAACTGGCCCAACTTTGCACATTCTGCTGTTTGACATGTGGTAGGAAGGAAGGAGCTTTAGAGAGTTACTGACCCTAGTTTGAAATAAGGCTCTCCCTCTTCCTGGCTGTGAGACTTCGGAATGTTCTTTGATTTCTCTGTCCTTTCCCTCACCTATAAAGTGTGGATTGTAACCCGATTTGCTGAGTCTTGTGAAATCAAAATCAGATTTTATCAAAGTTCTTAAAGAGGTGTTTGACCCATGTTACTGAGTATGCCATTAACCTTAGTAACCAGAATATACTAGCTTAGGACACACAATAGTGTTTCCAGGGTGCATGGCACCTGATTTTTTTTCTAGTAAGATTCTTAGTGGGAGTTTTATTTCCATGTATTACAATTTTATTTTCAAATGAAATTTCCTAGATACCAAAGGCAAATTCTCAAACTTATTATTAACTAATTTTGTCATTTAAAGTGTCATTTATGCCAAATATTTGAAATATCTTGTTTTGTTCCACAGTTATCTTGAGGCTGCCAACAAATCTGTAGCCTACTGGGGGCCTCCTGATCTCTCCAATTGTTCAAGTGAGCAATTTTTCTTCAGTTCTCTCAGGCAAAATGAAATGACTTCATACATCATAGTTTTCATCCTCTTCAGATATATTCTCCTGCTATATGATAACCATTGTAATAACAAAAACTAAGCAAATGATTGTTTCACTTAAGGTAGAAAATTTTGTTTTTCCAGATTCCAACTTTTTGTCCTGTTTTTTCTGTTGGAGATTAAAAATAGCTAATTTTAGAGAACATGTAACATATAAATTGATACTTGTGTCAATGTTTTTCAGTTGTGTATTATTTTCTTTAAATGTTTTATTTATTATTCATTTGAGGAAGAGAGCGAACATGAAACCTTGGTTGGGGGTGGAGGGGAAGGGGTAGAGGGAAGCAGGCTCCCCACTTTGCGGGGAGCCCACTGATGGTAGATCCCAGGACCCTGAGACCATGACCTGAGCCTAAGACAGACCCTTAACCAACTGAACCACCCAGGCACCCCTAGTTGTGTATTATTTTTAAGCAGGAGATATACACTTATATTTTGTGATTCTGGGGATATTTCTCTTAGAACTCTGTATGAATATTGGTCCCTCCAAAGTGGGGACTATGAAGTGAAAATATCATAGTATGTTTTGGATTCCTGAAATGTTCAAAATTTTGTGTGTTGGGTTTTTTTTTTTTTCTGTCTTTTTTTAGAGGAAGCAAATGAAGTGGCCAATGAAATTTTAAATTTAACCAGCGATGGGCAGACCTTAAACTCAGCCAATATTACCAGAATTGTAGAACAGGTCAAAAGGATTGTGAATAAAGAAGAAAACATTGATATAATGCTTGGTTCAACTTTAATGAATATATTTTCCAATATCTTAACCAGTCCAGACAGTGACTTGCTTGAGTCTTCTTCTGAGTAAGTATTTTTTTTTCTTCTGGAGAGTAAAATTTATTGGATACATGTTATGTAATTTCTCAGTTATCTGACTGCTTAGTGTCCAGCTTTCATCATTTAAATCTCCAGAATTTCCGTGGACATTTCCCAAGATCATTCACAAAATGGATTTCAAAGTTCTCTATTTTCTCTCTTGAGAAATATAATTTACAAAATGATTAGGATTGTCCATCTGGCAAGATATATAAATAGCTCCAGAAAAACATAATCAGTATGTCATTTCTCATCTGAAAAAAATGTTAACTGGAATTAATTCACAAGATAAGCTATTATATATATTAGCATAGGACACTTTCCTTGCAAAGGAGACACTTAGCAAACATTCCGCTCACATCTTTTATGCATAACGTGGTCGATGTAAATTCTGTCCTACGGACTGTGACATGGAAATGCCATAGCTGTGATCATTGTACTTCAGGAATGAAAATGTTCAGGGCATGTGAAATGTACCATTTTTACACAATTAGTATGCATCCACTTATTTCAATTAATGTATTAATATTTCTTGTTTCCTTCCTTTCACCCAAATTTTTTCAATGAAAATCTTGTATCTTGTAAAATATATTTTTGACTTTCTTTATCTACATAATAATTATAAACTTTTTATAGGGTCTTAGAGTCCAAAAAATGCTTTTACCTCATTATTTTCCTTTGATTCTCACTTAGTTATGAAATAGAAAAGGTATTTTTATATATGAGGAAAGAAAAAAGGCTAGGAAGTGAAAAACAATATTTGTTTAGGGTGATGTAATGGTTGGTATTCCTTAAAGGATAATATTTCTCTTGAGGATGTATTCATCAGTATGATTCTGTACTTTTATTGATGATGTTATGGTTTGGAGTAATTTTGTTGGTATTCATGTCGTTAAGATCAGAAAATTTAAAGGCAGTTTTACTTGGTCTGTATTTTGTCCTGCTGCAAATCGCATGTGTACAAGTACATAAATAACGTGTTGCTTAACAGTGGTATTGTCATTTCTTTAGAGCTTTAAAAACAATTGACAAATTGGCCTTCAAGATAGACCTAAGTAGCACATCCCATGTGAATATTACAACTCGGAATTTGGCCCTTGGAGTATCATCCCTGTCCCCAGAGACAAATGAAATTTCAAATTTTAGCATCAGTCTTCCAAGCAATAATGAATCCTATTTCCAGGTAATGAGCTGGTGCTTTCTTTAATTTTAATTAATTAGACAAAGAAAAACTACCTGATCACTTGCCAGTTTCTGCTTCAGGATCTTGGTTGGTGGGGTGGCAGGCAGGTAGGTCAGGTACTGGCTGAGGTTAATAGTAGCAGTAGCCACAGGCATGTGGACACTGAGAGGAGGTGTACTTTTAGCACCTGTGTGATGGGGTGGTCAGCTTACCTTCTGCAAGAGGTGACAGTGGAACTGAGTGTTCAACCATGAGTGGGAAACCCCTATTGAGAGTGGTGGGAGGGGATCTGCTCAGTTAGAAGAAAGGGCTTTATTCAGGGTCTGGGTGGGAAGAATTGCCATGTATTCAACCCTACCAAGTGTTGTCAAACTGAGTACTACCACCTGGTGTGTTTGTCAGAACAGAGTGTGCGCTCCCATCACCAGAGCTTCTAAGTTAGTTGATCCCTGGTGGATCTCCAAGGTTTGCACTTGGAACAAGTTTCCAGGCATTGCAGATTGGGTTAGTCTTTGAACAGAGCTCTGTTGAGAACAAGTGGCTTGGAGCCTGGGGCGGGGGGTAGGCAGTAATGAGACTGGATGGGTTAATGGAGAGCCTCTCTGCCCTGTGGATGTGACTGTTCAGCAGATAGCTTTCAAGTTCCCATGTGTGTCAGTGTTAGCCGTGTGGGTAAATGAAATGATCGGAACATCGTCCTTGAAATGGGAGAGCCCGCAGTGGCGCTTCTCCACTGTGGAGATAAACCAAGATGGAATGTTTAAAAATCTGGAGGAAAGGAAGAATGTTTTTCGCCTCAAAGTAGCGGCTCTTTTGGATATTTCTGTTTCACATTTAAGAGTGAAAAGTTGGTCAGCCTCAGTCTCATTCTGAATCCATTTGTGGAAAGACACATTTTGTGTTGATCTGCGGGTTCTGGGGAAATGATATCGAAGATTATTCATACAACTTCTGCTGCTTCCTCTGCGCAGGGATACTCTGTCTCAGCAACCAGACAAATCAACTTCAATCTTGTGGGATTTTTTTTTTCCTTTTTTTGTAGTTATCTTTCACTAGGTGTTTTAAGAAAAATTCAAAGTCTATTAAGTGTAAATCTCACTCATACTTGAAGATGTTAACTGATTTGTGGATCGCTCTACTTGCCTTGAAATCAGTGCATCTTCCCTGTTTTTCCACATTTTCAAAACTCAGAGAAGATCCAGGCTTTTGTCTGTAGGGATTCAGTCAGGAGGGCAGTGACTCCAGTGAAGGTAAAGGGAAACCCCAGCCCTAGCTAAGTAGGCCTTCTCCTGCCTCGTTCAGTACGTGGAGTAGTTACCATTGTAATTTGTCATTACTCGACCTGTGCATCTCTCTTTGTGTGGCAGATGGATTTTGAGAGTGGACAAATGGATCCATTGGCTTCTGTAAGTTTGCCTCCCAACTTACTTGAGAATTTAAGTCAAGAAGATTCTGTATTAGTTAAAAGAGCACAGTTTACTTTCTTCAATAAAACTGGACTTTTCCAGGTAAGGGTTCATTAAATCATTTTTCAGTTGCAAGTTGAGTTTCTTTGTTCAGAAGGAAAATATGAAAGCTTGGATTCCTTGAAAATATATCAAGAGATATAGAGAAATTAACCTACTATATCTTCAAAAATGAAAAAATTTAACATAATTAGTTAAGCATTTTATTTCAGATGATTATATCCTTATTACAGGAAGTGTTCATTTAGGTTTTTTAAATAAATCAAATACTAGATTAAGACTGGCATGGTACAATTAGGAATGGAATTTGTGGAGAAAGGATTATTTATTATTCCTTTTGTTGAATATTTTATGCTTTCCAACAGTTTAGACCTTCAGAGTCAAAGAAACTGTATGCCAAAGGAAAGGTTTGGTTTTTGTTTCTGTTTTTTTTTTTTTTTTAAATTCAGCAGGAAGGACTGTTTACATAATGAGCAGCATTCTTGGCTTTAATCAGTTTTCCCACTAATATTTCAGAAGACCTTTGGCCCTCACACCCCAGAGTTGGGTGGCATTGTGCTGAATGACATACTGTCATTATTACTGGCATCGTTTCTAGATACTAGAAAGTCCACTGCCAGCAAACACTGGTGGCCTCTCATTGCCTGTCCAGAGTAGTTTCACTGAACTCTTTTTAAAAAATAGAAGCTGTCTATTAAATTAAAGATACCAGCATATATTAAACAATGTCATCTGTGTAAGAGAAAACAGGCAAGTCTCAAGGCCAATAGCATTGCTTCCAACTGTCATGTACAGGGGCATGGCAATATAAGTTGCAGAGAAGAAATACCATGAAATCATTTACAATAATTCTAAAATTTTAACATTTTTTCAGCCAGTGTTTTAGAAACAAGCTATATAAAATTTTGGGTAAATTAAGAATGTGATTACTAATTATTCTGAAGGCTTTAATAGTTAGGAACAGATAAACTGCACTTGTAAAAATTATTTGAGGCTTACAGTGCCACCTTGAAAATCAAAACAATGCAGTATGTGTCACAAAAATGTGATGGGTGGTGAAGGAGGCTCTGTTCAAAGAGGTTGAGTCCAGAGGGAAGGGGTTGGGAGAAAGGTTAGAACTGTCAGAATCTGTCATTGTTTCATTTTGAGTTTGTCTTCTGTATGCTGCCTTTCCCTTCTCCCTTGGCACCTCCCAATCAGCATATTATTAGGAAACATATATTTGGTTTTTAAAGCAAATTTATAGCAGAGTCAGAAGATTTTAAGGATTCTCTGGTACTCCCTTAACATACTGAACAAGAGATGAATATTTTTTAAAGAAAAGACTAGGTATCCACAAGCCATTACCAACTTTATTGAGCATGATCACACGTAAGTAACAAAAAAACCATACTCTGAATGCTGAGATTTATTTGGCACATAAGAAGCCATGTAATTATTCCCAGACAACTGATTTATAAGCTGCAATAGAGAAATGCAGGAGGTTTGACAAGAAAAACACGAGGGAAGAGGGAATGAGAGAAGGTCTTGCTGACAGACATGCTGTTGGCCCCAGTCATTTTGCAATATGGATTCGCTGATTTGATTTCTTCACAACCTCATCTCTGAAGGGGAAGCTCCAGAGGGTGGCAAGTGTACAATGAAGGAAGGTAGAAATTCTGGATGGGGGTTTTTAGATGGTACAGTTGGTTAAATGTCTGACTCTTGGTTTTGGCTTAGGTCATGATCTCATGGTCATGATCTCAGACCCGAGAATAAGCCCCTCCTTCTCAGCATGGAGTCTGAATAAGACGCCCTCCTCGCTCTGCCCCCACACCCATGCTCGTTCTCTCTCTCTCTTGCTCTCAAATAAATCTTTAAAAGAAAAAAAGAAATTCTGGATGGGAACTTCATCTAGTAGAATTACATTTAGTTGTAAGTTACTAAACACGTCAGGTCATTGTTAGCATGGATTTGAATGATGGATTTTTTGGTTTTTTTTTTTAGTTTATTTTTCTCATCGTATTTCTTTTATACTTCTCTAAGAGCAAACAACTTCATCTGTTTTCTAGGGCAGGGAAATGATCTAATTGTTTCGTGGCTTTTATGAGTACATGATTTCTGGGTTCACATTGTTGCTGATGTTAACTGGCTGACCTTAGTCACAGCAATCACGAGGAGGTTTTATGAACATTGCCTTATACCATCAGCTCATAATCTTCCCTCAATGTATTTATTATAATAAGGGAAATAGCAAAGCTCGTTCAGGAAAGCCAGCAATTTGACCTTATAAACAGGATGTTCTATAATTGAAAATCTTAAAAGCAAAAAGTGCTGACAGTTTGCGTGTTTGGGAGCACAAAATCAAATACAAGTGTACTTCTGACTATTAATACACTTTTTTTTTTCTTTCAAAGGATGTAGAAACCAAGAAATACACCTTAGTGAGTTATGTGATGGCATGCAGTATTGGAAACATGACTATCCAGGGTCTGAAGGATCCTGTTCGAATTAAAATCAAACATATGAGAAACCAGGTAAGAAAATGCCACAAAAGACAATGGAACAGAGGCAGATGACTTCAGAGAAGTGTGGGGTCTTTCTTCTTCTTCTTCTTCTTCTTCTGCTTCTGCTTCTGCTTCTTCTTCCTTCTGCTTCTTCTTCTTCTTCTTCTTCTTTCTTCTTTCTTCTTCTTCTTCTTCCTTCTTCTTCTCCTCTCTACATGTTAAGAATTTTATTCTGGCACTTTTTGGAGGAGGGCAACTTTCCAAAAAGGGGAGAACAGATAAGCAGGTGGTGCTGTAATGTCACAGTAAATGTTGGCAAGTCGGAGGATTCGTCCCTTCTAGGATTCAGTCTTCAGGAGAATGAGAGTGAAGAAAAGGACCCCACTTTTTAAGGAATGACACATTAATTTGAGAAATTAGAGGCAGATGCAGTTGCACAATCCTGCCATTAAAAGACTTGGATTGTTTTTTTTTCAAGTCAGAAATTACTGCTACTGGGAAAGCAGAAGGGAAACAGGGCATGGTTGACTCATTTTTTGAGAGGTTAGCAGTTATCTAGAATCTTGGCAAATGTTGCTTTTTTTATTGCTTTAATGCCCTTGCTATCGTCTGTTTATTTGATAAAATTATATGGGGGTCCTTTGGTCTCAGGTAAGGCCAGGCACAGGCTCTCCCCTCTTTTCGAGAGGGCCCACTCATCGGTCTCCCATTTGTTAGGAAAGCAGGAAGGCAGGCAGGAAGGAAACTGGCTGATAAGGACCGAGGCTTGGAACTTAGGTCATCTAAGAACTAGCCTGGCTTTGTCACCGAGCCCTCTGAGACGTCCTTGTTCTACCCTCTGGCTTCCTTTGTTTCAGCTCCTTCATCCATAAAGAATTTTTTTATTGTGGTAAAATGTACATTACATAATATTTACTATTTTAACCATTTTTAAGTGTACCATTCTGCGACCTTTTAGTGCATTCCCATTTTTCTGTGCCCATAGAGCCATTCATCCCTGGAACTTCTTCATGTTCTCCAACCGAAACTGTGGACTGTTATATAGTAGCACCCCATTTCCCCTCCCCTGGGCCCCTATGACCACCATTTTACTCTCCCTTTCTGTGAACTTAACCACTCTAGGCACCTCTTGTAATTGAAATCGTATAGTATTTTTCCTTTTGTGACTAGCTGATTTCATTTAACCATCTTTTTCCAGGTTCATTCAGGTTATAGCATGTACCAGAATTTCCTTCCTTTTTAAGGCTAGATAATATTCCATATATATATGTGTGTGTATGTGTGTGTGTGTGTGTGTGTCTCCTACATTTTTTAATCCATTCATCATACTTTGATTGTTTCCACCTTTTGGTTCTTGGGAGTAACATTGCTGTGAACAGGGATGTTTAAAATATCTATTTGAATCCTTACTTTCAATTCTGGGCACATACTTAGACGTAAAGGAGAATTTTGAAGGTAAACCGAGGTTACAATGTAAAGAGCTTTGATAAATGCTGAGGACAGCATTTTATGGTGGGACATACGTAGTCACCTTTAGATAAATGGGAAGCATGATTCCTCACGAGGTTATGGTTGATTTCCACTTGGCGTCTTTGTGAGAGGAGATCCTTCTGGACTGCCTGCCGTTCCTAGGTTGTATCGGCGTGACTAATACTGGTCTCTTTCTTTGTGAAAACCTTAGCATTCTGACTCTTTTCCCATATTCAGATCTTAAGATCTTTCACTTATTTTAAACACAATTTCGCATGTTTATTCTTATGTTAATATAGGCAGTGCTTCATCCCATCTGTGCCTTCTGGGATCTGAACAAAAACGGTAAGTTTTAAAATATTGGCTGTCTTAAGAACAACTGAATTTTAAACATTGTTAGACACCCCCGTTTCCTTTCATTCCACCCCAGCCAGAATGAGTCACAGTGTAAGTGTGATAACTGAACTGCAGAGTTTAGTTTAGGTAGCTTGGGAAGTGAACCACATTTCTGTAACTTTTTACTCATTGCAAGAAGAAATAAGTAAACTTGACTTTTTTTTTTTTTTTACCAAACAATCTCTTTGATTTCAGTTACTTTGAAAATACAGTACGCATTTTGATCGCCACTTTTAGATGATCATCGATATATGTTTGACCTCATTCTTTTAAGGATGCCTCTGAGATTATTAATATGCATGAGGCACACAATTTAGAATCTAGCTACCAGACTTCAGATTATGGGGAAAACATGCTAAAGGACTATAAATAAGAAATGGTTATAATACATGTATGTTGCTTGAAAGAAATGAACTGCCTCCAAAATGGCATTTGACAATTAAGAGAAAAAGGCACAATTAAGGGAGAAGTCACTAGGTATGAGGTATGGGGATCTCTTCGATGGGAAGAACAAGCTATGAAACTTCCCTCCTCTGCCCCCTAAGGGTCACCTTCCCTCGGGGATACCCAGTGGGATTATCCTGGCTAAATCTAAACCAGGACCAGTACTACTGCTTCTTGGTAGAAATGGAGTCTGAAGGTGTCTCAACCTCTGTTTTTTTTGTTTTTTTGTTTTTTTTAAATAACTGATTTTTTTTTTTATTAAAGGTTTTATTTATTTATTTGACAGAGAGAGATCACAAGTAGGCAAACAGGCAGGCAGAGAGGCAGGCAGAGAGAGAGAGGAGGAAGCAGGCTCCCTGCTGAGCTGAAAGCCCGATGCAGGGCTTGATCACAGCACCCTGGAATCATGACCTGAGCCGAAGGCAGAGGCTTTAACCCACTGAGCCACCCAGGCGCCCCGTCCAACCTCTGTTTTTGATAAGCCTTATCAGAACTGGAAAGTTGTGGTGTTTGGTTTCTAGTTGCACAGTTTTGAGAAATTGGATTTGCTGGAAAATAATTAAAATGGTATCACCTTGCAGACTTAAAATACTCTTCAAATATATAAATTGCTCATATTCCACATCCTACCATAAAAGTCAGATAAGATGTACTAAGGGCATTTATAAGAGGTTTCCACTGTGCATGATTGCTGTGTACATAATAATAATAATGCTGACCTCTGTTTGTTCTTATGTCTTTACAAAAGTAGAGGCTGACCCAAGGCAAAAAATGTGTTGATCTTCAGGCTTCATTAGTATGTAACATATTTGAAAGAGGGATACTCTTTTCACAGAAGTTTATTTTGTAATACATTAAAAGTTAAACTAAAATCAAACTTTTGCAGGATCTTCAGTAGAACACAGTTGAAAACCACTGACTAGATAATGTCTCGCTGCCAACCCAGCACTAACAATCTATGATTCCAGGAATCTAAATTATTCCGAGTATTGGCAGCTTTAAGAATTGTATCTGTTTGACTGATAAACTGAAAGGCAGAAAAGACTGAGGCATATTTTCCTAAAGAAGATATCATCCATTATAGAAAAGGAACTGGCCTGCTGCTATTTTCACACTGTTTGTGGACTTCCTCTTGCAGAAGGTTCTGGATTTTGGAACACTTCAGGATGTGTGACACAGAGAAATTCAGATGAGAGCGAGACTGTCTGCTTATGTAACCACCTAACGCACTTTGGAGTTCTGATGGTAAGGGAGGAATTTCTAAACTCATTTTGAAATGGTATAATTTGGGAAGGCATACTTCTTTTTGTAAGTCAGCCTTTTTATATTATGTGTTTTGGGAAATTATTTCCTGATAATTGTATCTGTATTTTGAATCCTGGTAATTAGCAGAAATCACATATTTAAAATATGTAACAATAATTATAAAAAAGAATTCTTTTTTCCTGTAATATTAACAGCAATGATAAATAAATCTAGAAATAAGCAGATCACCATGAGACTCTTGAATTAAGAGAGACACAGAGTTGGGGAGGCAGAGAGGAAAGGGGGAGGGAGAGAGAAAAAAGTTAAAGAGGAAGACAATGCTGGGTTTTTACTAACACAGAGGAGAACTGTGAAAATTTTGATAAAATATTGTTCTTGTATTATCACTCGTTGGATTGAATGTGACTTTATAGAAGGTACTGTGCTAGGTGATCCAGCTGTCACCCCAAATGATGCAGGCCCCCCCAACCCCTGGTGAGCACAGCCCGTTGAGACAGGTTAGGGACTAGGACACCATGAAGTCCTCAGGACTGTAAGAGAAGAGAGGGGTGTGACCTGCCTATTACCACTAAACCTTCATATTATTCTTTCTTTCCTTCCTTCTTTCCCATGGCCCTATTTTTTCTCATTAGCCAGCCTGTCCAACAGTTTTAAACAAAAATTAGATCACATCAACATTTTTTTTTCATCTCGCCAAATTTTTGAGAGCCACCTTCCGTGTAACAACTTTCTTAGATTCCCAGATAGACTTATACCTCTGTCTTATATCTCATACATGTGTGTTTTTGAAGATACATTTCAGATGTGTTCTATATCCTTCCACTTGTAACAGAGCTCTTGTTTCTGGTAGTTGGTTTAGTTCCCAAGGATCAAACCACATTTGCTTTTTAAAATGATGATGGCATTCATGTATGCTGAGACAGTAAAGCTTTTTGAATTTGAATCACAAACGTCATGGTTATGTTTTTCCCCTCCCTTAGATCTTACTCCCATTTCCAGTGGGACTGGGCAGGTGCAGTAGGGACTGTGGGATGTGGCATTAGGTTCATGAACCCACTTGCCAATATAAATGGCCGATGTCATACGGCCATCCTGAAAGTGATCTTCCTGACACTCTACTGCATAAATGCTCTGAGGGATAAAGCAAGTCATTGGAAAAGGCAGCAATTATAGCAAATAACTTTTTAACTTTCCCAAAATATAAGTATTTTTCTCTACTGCTAGAGCATGAAAATGAACAATTAAACTATAGCATGTTTTCTCTAAGTAAAACATATACACTCTTGGTTTTGTTTTATTTTGTTTTGTTTTAAGATTTTATTTTTTTTATTTTAGAGAGATACAGGTAGAGAGAGTATGAGCTGGGGAAGGGGCAGAGGGAGAGGAGGAGAGAGAGAATCTCAAGCAGACTCCACACTGAGTCCAGAGCCCGATATGGGTCTTGATCTCAAGAATCTGAGTAATGACCTAAGCAGAAAGCAACAGTCAGACATTCACCAGCTGAGCAACCCATACGCCCCCAAACACACTCAGTTTTAACTTCCACATTCTCCTTTCTCCAAAAGTGACAGTAGACATTCTTTTAGAAAACACTGATTTGCAACATTATTCACTCAGGTATATAAGCTCTAGCTTAACTCATTTATCTCTTTGAATTGTGTACATGTGCACACATGTATGTGTGTGCACGTGTGTGTTTGAGCACGATTGCATATGTTGTAGGTCTAAGGTTAGATAAATGGGTAACCAGTAATACAGTTCAGTATACAGCAGTGATTTATGTGTCACCAAAGTTGGTTTCCTGTTACTTAGGTTAGTTTTTTCACATATGGTTTGAATTTTATTATGAATTTGTAATTGTGTATTTTTCTGTTGCCATTTGATAAAATAGTTTTACATATATGTAAATATATTCATTTTTTAGTACTGTTCTTTGTACCTTGGCTGCTCTTACAAGTTTATAAACTGCTGGGAGAAAAACTTTCCAAGAATTTATCCTTCCTGGCGATGAGCCCATGTCCCCTCAGCTTTTCCAGACCACCAGGACTTTGCTAAGAAACTTTCTTGATTTATAAACTCTTTATTCATTTATATAAGATATTCTCAGAGTCTACATTGCCCTGTGACACACTGACTATATGGGAGGTTAAAAAATATACCCCAGACCTATAATTATTTCTTTTAATCTACAAATGTGCAAAGGATTTAATGTCCTCTGTTAACATTCTCTTGTAGTAAAACTGAATTTAATGCTTTTAACATTAGTACATTTTCATGTTGCCTAGTTCAGAAGAATAAATATTTTCATATTCTTCATTCTCTAAAAGTACAAAACAACATGAGAGTTGTGTGTGAATGTGTAATAGTAAATAACATTATTTAATTTACACTTTAAGTTGTGGTTTTAATTGTGGCTTGCAAGTTCACCACCTCACCTAAATGGGAAGCCACAATTTTTTCAAGAGGTAAGAACAAGTCACCTAGAGATTCCTCAAGACCATTTCTCTGCTCCATGAAATCCTGGAATAACCAAAATGTTGGTCAGGGTAACCTATCTGTGAGTCCACTGACACTGACTTGAACCCCATCCCATATGCCAGGGCAGTCCCAGGTTCTTCCAGTGTTTGGAGGGATTTCTGGGAGAAAAAGGTAGGCTAAGTCCCTTCTGACCTAGAGCTCTGTGTCTGCTGAATTTGATCACTGTGCATTTTTGGGAGCCACAGAAGTGGTTACCTGTTTCTTACTGCCTTAGCCAAACCTTAGATTGACTCTCCTGTCATCATTTCACAGACACAAACTCACATGCAAACAACACCTACCGGAGGCTTTGTTTGTGAGTAACAAGTTTTATTGGCATGCTGGTGAAAATTAAAGAGAATTAAGACATAAAATGAAAATCTTATAAAGCAGAATTTATTTTTTCATAATTTAAGACCTAAAAAAATTTTTTTAAGACCTAAAATTTTAAACCAGATATCCCCTTTGGAATATGGCCTTTCTCCAAGAAGTCTCCATTTTTTAACATCTGCGTATAACAGAGATGTCTTTTCTTCTCCAACCAAGATTAGTGGAGGGTCTTAACTCAAGATTTATCCCTAACCCAATTCCCTATTTAAGGAAGAAAAGAAAAATTTCCCTCCCAGACCCAGATTTTACAAGTTTGCCTCTGCATAGTGAAATTAATACTTCATGTTAATATGCTAGGAAGTGTTTACTTCTTTCCATTCCACAAATCATAACACTTTAAATGGTGCCCTCTCAGGTCAACAGGGATTTAAAAAAAAAAAAAAAAAGTCTCTGTAATCTAAAAATCTATAATGGTTTCTCACTTATAAAAAAATAAAGACCATTCAACCCAATACATGCCAAGCTTTGAAATGACCACAGTTAAGGTCCTCAGCACTATACTCAGAGGCACCAGTCTCTGGCTGTCCATTGGTTTGGCTGAGCCCCCCACTACTGGAAAGTCAGCACTTGCCTGAGGGCTCCCATTGGCCATAGTGGCCTCTATTTGTACTTGTGTCCTTAGCCCTGTGAATGTTAGCAATGGGCCTGATCATTTATTATGCAAGGCAGTGATTTCCCCAATTTCTGGTGGGGGGCCAACCCAGTGGTTTTGCTCTTCAGGCTATTCTGGTGGGCAAAGAGTTTGGATTACCAGGTAATGAGAGAAAACAACATGCAACCCTCTCAGTAATGCTACACTTTGGCTTATGGAATTATCAGCAAGAGTACAATAAATGGAAGCTTCCATATTGATTTGCAGTGTTGCTTTTAGCCCCTCAGATTGTGCTAAAATTGTAAGTGCTAGCAATGAACTTTCTAATAAAACACTATTCCTGTAAAAAGAGAGATTCTTAACAGCTGCTTCCCATGTTTTTATGTAGGACCTTCAAAGAACTGCCTCTCAGTTAGATGCAAGAAACACCAAAGTTCTCACCCTCATCACCTATATTGGGTGTGGGATATCTGCTATCTTTTCAGCAGCCACTCTCCTGACATATGTTGCATTTGAGTAAGTATTTTTTATCTGTCAAAACCCAGTGCTAACTGCCCCAAAACGTGAATAAGGAAATTGCCTTTGCTTTAAAAAATACCTAAAAAATACACTTTTTGAATCATGGAGAGTAGTTCAACTTTAATGTTCAGGTTTCTCAGATATCATGCAGCATAAATTTTCTCCCTATAGAATCTTAATGTATAATTATTGTATGTCCACGGATAAAATGCATTTAATAGATGATTAACATATAAATAAAACAAATAATACATTATGTTAATTTAAAACAAAATTAGTCCTGAAACAAGAACCCTTTTTCGGTAAAGATTTTTTATTTATTCATTTATTTATTCATTATTTATTTATTCAGAGAGAGAGAGAGAGAGTGAGCTTGTCCCGGAGCATGAACAGGGGGAAGGGGGATAGTGTCAGAAGGAAAGAGAGAAGCAGATTCCCTTCCAAGCAGTGACCCTGGGGGTAGGGCTCCATCCCAGGACGCCAGATCATGACCTGAAGCAGAGGCAGATGCTTCACCGACTGAGCCACCCAGGTGCCCCAACAGGAACTTTTTTTTTTTTAATAGATCCTTACCTCATTAAAAATCAGGAAATTTCAGAGAATTTTAGGGAAATTTTTTTAACAAAAATCTCATTTTTATAACTAGTATGTTTTCTAGATTTAAAAAAACAATCCATGAAACTAATTGGAAATCTGGTAAACAATTGGAAACAGTTTTGAAATAAAATTGATATTAAAAAAAACTTTAGGGACACCTGGGTGGCTCAGTCATTTAAGTATCTGCCTCCCACTTGGATCATGATCCCAGGGTCCTGGGGTTAAGCTCTGAGTCTGGCTCTGTGCTCAGCTGGGAGTCTGCTTCTCCCTCTCTCTCTGCTCCTCTCCCTGCTCGCACACATCTTCTCTCTCTCTCTCTCAAATAAATAAAATGTATAAAATTTTTAAAAAAAACTTAGTAATTTGCCAAATACTCATAAATATTCTTAAATACTCCTAATTAGATACAAATCTCCTCCTAGTGGTGCCATCACAAAGATGGCTCCATTGCGGGGATCTGTAGAAGATAGGAATTTACCACCTTGCTTAAAATACTAATTTACGGTATTCCTTCTCCTCTTCATTTTTCCCTTTTCCAGAAAGTTGCGAAGGGACTATCCCTCCAAAATCCTGATGAACTTGAGTACAGCCCTGTTGTTCTTGAACCTCCTTTTCCTCTTGGATGGCTGGATCACCTCATTTCATGTGGATGGCCTTTGCACGGCCGTTGCAGCCCTGCTCCATTTCTTCCTTCTTGCAACCTTTACCTGGATGGGGCTGGAAGCAATTCACATGTACATTGCCCTGGTTAAAGTATTTAACACTTACATTCGCAGATACATACTGAAATTCTGCATCGCTGGCTGGGGTAAGCCTCATAAAAGTTTTGGCTTTGTGTTCACTGTCAGGGAAATTGCCCGTCTCTCACAGGAAAGTCCTATGTCGAAAGATTAGTGCTGCTAAAAGAAACTTCAAAATTGTGAATGATGCGGGTTTGATGTACACATCCCAAGGCAGGGGTTTCCTCGGAATGGTATTTTTAAAAACTATTCAGCCGTTCTTACTAAATTCAGGAGTAAAGGAAAAAGCCCTAGCCTCCTGAGTCACCACAAACTCATTTCCTGTGACCAGAGCCAGCCCACCCAAGTCTGGAGAAGCAGCTGGCGGACAGTGGTGCATTTCCATTATGTTTCAAAATATAAAAGCAGTTTAGACTCCTTGCTGTCCTCACCCCCGAACACATGCGCATGTCTTGGATCCAGCAAGAGAGTGTTATTTTTGTGTGTGCAACCAGAATACTGACAAAATTCTTGCCTTGTACTTCTTAACATGATTCCTTAGCCAGACATGGATGGTAGCCTTAGACTGTTTGGAATCTTCCAAATGGGCTTCTTTCTCTATCTGAGTTCATAATGGAGCAAACATTTAGAGCTTGCTCTTTTCTTTTTTTTCTTGGGAGGGTGGTGGGCAGAGATAGCAATACAGATGTATGGGACATTTCCAAGGTGTTGGGCACTAAAAGCATCTTTCAGGGAATTAGGGTGGTGTGGGCTTTCCCAGTGAAATATACATGAAAATACTTTATTGATTCTCTGGAGAGGAAAGAGGAGACTGTAAAAACTTTACAGCCCCATGGTTTCTTCCCCACTGTTTCTAAGGAGTTTTCTTTACATAGAAAGGGACAAAATAAACTGCAGTTCCCTTACTGCCCAAACTCTGGCAGAGTGGCAGCTGTCATCAACGAAGGACATTTGCTCTGGATTCAGAATAAACCAGGTTCTGCATCTCTAATGAGTAACAATAAGCAAACACAATATTTAACTGTTATTTAAGAACAGGTTTTAACTGTTGCCAGTTAGAGTTGGACATTCCACACCAAAGAAGGGATCATATTGTTGCTTTTAAGCAAGTTGCTAGTTCTAAAAAAAAAAAAATTCTGTGATGTGGGGGGTTTTCTTTCTCTTTTCCCCCCCTGCCATTATCAGTCTTATAAGGCAGTTCTAGATGCTTTGGAGCAGTTGCTTACGTCATGGTCTTTCTATAACAGGTCTGCCTGGCTTTGTCGTGTCCATTGTTCTGGTAAGCAGAAACCAAAATGAGGTCTACGGAAAAGATACTTATGGAAAAGGACAGGGGGATGAATTGTAAGTAATAACAACTTGTTGGAAATTTATTTGTGATGAGTGTATCTCCTTTGCTTTCTGTGCCATCAGCAGTATGATTTACTGAGCATTTGTTATATGCCAGGAATCATGTTAGGGTCTGGGATTCAAAGATGTTCAAGACAGATTTTGCCTTTGTGGCAGTCATGTTCCAGTGTGGAATACATAACCCAGAATGATAACCATTTTTACGAGAATTTTTAGATGAATTTAATTGCTTTAAATACTTTATCCAATTTTTGAAGTACCTTAAGAACTCCCATAGTATTAATTAGGCATGGGGAGCATCTGTAAATTGTAGTTTGTGTTGACTTTACTCATAGAACATGTTACACATGGTACAATTTTTAAATTACTTTCATCTATTTTCTATCTATCTATCTATCTATGTGTGTGTGTGTGTGTGTGTGTGTGTGATCTGAATATCAAGTATATCCTTGATAAATAAAGGATATAAAGATGTTGTGATTGGTGTAAGCTTTTTAACTTCATGAGGAGCATTACTATAGGAGTATCAAAGTTCTATAATGAAGTCTTGCCTCAACTAGGCGAATTATAGTAACAGGAATTATTTTGCAACAGTAATAGAATTCATGATTTATATGTGTCTTAAGTAGGAATTTACTCTGCTTGCATGATGGGAGACATGGAATTAGGCAGGTACTGCCATTGGTCTTATGGCTGAAAATGTCAGGATCAGCAGCTCTACAGCAATCCTGGCCTTTCTCTCAAATTTAGTATGTGGTTGTACAGCTCCAGAGCTTGTTTTCATGGTGGAAGCAGAAAGAACACATTAGGGTCTCTCCCAAAAATCCCCTAGAAGATTTTGCTTCCCCATTTCATCGAACAGTGTCCCCGTGGTCCCCCCTTAAATGCAGAAGAGATTGAGAAAATGAGTACTTTGATTTCCCATTCTCTGGAGTGTAGTCTCATAAGAGGAAAGGGGTCTAGATGTGGTTTTGGGTGAGCCAAACACGAGTGTCTTCACGCCAAGTCAGAATTCAAGAAGCCACCCTGTTTTCCTTTTAACTGTTGACTTAAATAACTTGATATTAAGATGATGACTAGCCAAAACAAACCAAAAAAAAAACAAACAAACAAAAAACTGTGTAAACATCAAAAAAGAAACTGAGGCCCAGGAAAATGAAGTGACTGTCTAAAGGCATTGAGAAAGGCCCAGCTGTGAAATCTGCTGAAACCCAAACTAAGCCAGAAGACTTTGGTCAACAGGACATGGTAATAAATCTTTTTCTTTCTGGTTTCTTCTTTCAGCTGTTGGATTCGGGATCCAGTCGTCTTTTATGTGACCTGCGCTGGGTACTTTGGAGTCATGTTTTTCCTGAATGTTGCCATGTTCATCGTGGTGATGGTGCAAATCTGTGGGAGGAATGGCAAAAGAAGCAACCGGACCCTGCGTGAAGAGGTTTTAAGGAACTTGCGCAGTGTGGTCAGCCTGACATTTCTGCTGGGCATGACATGGGGTTTTGCTTTCTTTGCCTGGGGACCCTTAAATGTCCCTTTTATGTACCTGTTCTCCATCTTCAATTCATTACAAGGTAAGATAAGCAGTACCTTTGTAATTGCTGCCTTCCAACTTTATCATGGGTACAGACAGCTTCATTTAAGGCCAGATGCTATGCTAAATTTCTACATCTTTGTTCCAGGTAATGAACATAGTTCCAGGTACAGGGTACTCACTAAAAGGATCTTGAACAGAAAGGTGAGGTAGGATGTCAGTTTGTTTTCAGTGAGGTGTATCACTTAGAACAGTGCCTGGCAGGTAGTAGGTGCTCAATAAATCTGTATTGTTTAATGACTAAATATGGGGCACGGAGGTATCTGATGGGGAGTTTAAAGGGAGGCACAGATAACTTTTACCTTCTACACAGTTTTCCTTAATATCCTACATGGATGTAACAATCTTGGCCAGAAGAAGTTTTAGAATCTATGCAGGGACAGAACAATTCTCCTAGATTCTTTGGCTCCTTGGATTTCAAAATAAATACCAGTACTCCAGCTCAAAAGTGCTCATTTTCTCATGAGATACGGCAGTTAGTTCAACAATTTAGCAAACATTTGCCAATGGCCTGCTGTGTACAAAAATCGAAGGCTTCCTCTGAGGAGCTTACTGTCATGCTTCTGATTCCATAATACACACCTGAATATACTCCATGATGAATTTAACATTTAAACTTAAATAAACATAAATTATATTTTTCAAAAGCTGAATGACATTCTTTAAGATATTGGATATACCTTGGGCTGTTGATAAATTTCCCCAATGTTCAGAAGCACCAGGAGGCCCACACAACAAAGGAACAAGGGGACAAAGCTTGGAATTTTTTGAGTAGGGCATTACTACGGGCTTACCTGAAGCTCCTGGCTGTGCAGTTGTAAGCACGTGGGGAAAGGCGAGCTGACTAAAGCTGACGAAATCTGAGCTGGGGTGGGTGGCGTGGTGGGGGGCATGTTGTATTACTCACTGAACAAGATGCCCGGACAGCTGCTCCCCACACATGCATTCTAAGAGAACTTGGTATTTATCCGCAGGGGAGTGTTTACTGTTTTATATCATACATACCCGCTTTGTCTCACTCCTAGTTTTTCCACCAGCTCATGAGCTCCTGCAAAAAAGAATTTGTCGTGCAGTAGGTGCTCAGTGATTGTTAAACAAATAAATGGATTGCTGGGTGAAGAAGGGTTAAGCTTTCGAGATGGCTTAAATCCAACCTGAGACTCTTCTGGCATCAAAAGGCATTAATTAGTTCAGCAAATTTTATTCAGGTTCACTCTTCCATAACAGAGGAAATATGTGGGCTCATTATCTTTAGTAAATACAATAATAAGCATCAAGTGCACCTCCAGAAGTCTGAAACCGGATAAGTAGCATATGAATGCACCCACATATCGTGCTTTGTAAAGTGAATATTCCTCTATTTAATTTATTCTGTAATATACAACATAAAAGTGCCTAGATAAATATTGACAAAAATGTCCATTAACATTAGAAATTCCATGCTTTTATATTTCAGGCACATTAATCTGCCAGCCCAACCTTGTTTTTGCTTTTAGAATTTCCTGGCAGTTTCAGTAAACTTCAGCAGCTACAGTTGTCTGTTCAGCTCTGTTTCCATTAATGAGAATTGGGATGTCTTATTTTTCCCAGCCTAGGTCTCCTGTTGGGAGGGAAGAATATTCTAAACCATGATCAAGTCCCAGTTCTTCATAAATCGCTAACTTTTAAGACTGATGTTAAATTATATAAATTCAGAACAGATTTCTGCATATCCAGTGACATTAAAAACACTTCCTGAAAAGGAAATTTAAATTAAAACACAGTGATACCAAGCATATGAGTCCACCAACAATTACTTACTGGCCGAGCTTGTACAAAAACTTGTCAGGATGCTATAGAATGTCACTTAATGGTTCTTATTTGAGTCATTTCTGAACCTTCCAAGAAGAGGCTGTTGGTTGTTGTTGGAAGTGTATGCTTTGTTAAAAGGTGCACTTAGAATCTAGACCATCTAAAGAAACAAGTCAGTGAGTTGTAGGTAGTATCTAGGCAAAATAAACTGAGTTAAGACTTAGGCAGACTACATTGTCTTTTTTATTCTTTCTAATATTTTTTTTATTCCAGAAAAAAAAAAAAGAAAGAAACTTGACATGATCCCTTTGTCTCATGGAGTTTATGTTCTAGTGGGAGAGACCACCATTAATCAGATAGTCACCCTGTGAAATGTAGCTGGTGGTGGAGAGAACACACAACAGAAATCACAGTGTCTAAGCTGTAATCTGAAGGATACGTAGGGAGAATGAGGTGAAGGTGCGGGTAGGAACCAAGAAGAGAAAATTTCTAGTGGAGGGCCCTCCATGCGCAAAAACCCTGCTATCCTTGGTGATTATGAGTATGCCCCAGGAATTAAAAGAATGCTCAAATAACAGGAGAACCAAGAAAGAGCCACAGAGTGACAGAGTGGTGGGCATGGCACAAACGGGAGGCTGGGGCGAGACCAGAAGGCCCTATGTTTTGATCTTGCTAAGAGCCATGCACAGTCTTTGAAATCTTCTAGGCCTGTGGAATGACATGATCAGATGTGCGTAATAGATAGAAAGATGAAGCTGGACATAATGTGGAGAAGGGATTAGAGCTCCCAGAGTGTCTGTAGGGAGAGCAGAGAGGAGACTACTTCTGTGGTCCGGGTGAGATAAGGCAGTGCCGTATTTTAGACTGTGATGGGGCTGGGGGAGCTGGAGATACATGAGAAGAGTCAAGAGAAAGTTTGGAACGATGCTGCCACAAAACACTCAACACTGGTGTTGAGTTTCATTAAAGTAAACTCTTCTTTTTCTAGAGTGGTTAAGGTGAGCGGTCTTCTTGATTATGCCATACCATAGCTAACTGACACCTACCAGTATTAGACTCAGCAACAGCCAAAGGTTTAGAATGTGATATAATATTCTAAAAATTAAATCTATACCAAACAAATTTTAATCTCAGATTTAGCTTGGAGCTGAGCATCTGAAAATCAGCAGGTCTTCATTTCGAATCCCACAAGTCACCCTTTAGTGTTACAGAGGTGAGACCTCCAAGGACAGATGTTCAAGCTGTGTCTGCAGGGAAGCCCAGATGTCTCTATCACAGGCGTGGCTTCTGCTAGCAGCTTGCGTTTCATTTTTGTGTCTGTCTTCCAGACTTTGATTCAAACGTGAAAAATCCATTTTATCTTTCAGGGTTCTTATAAATAAATGCATGTATGGATATGAGCGTGTTCAAACACATATACATGTATAATTATATGGATACTTACATAAATTTGCAGAGCCTACATTTTAAAATTTTGTACATGCTTTAATATTTTAATGTTCAGTTTAATATATATTTTTGTTATTAGTATATGTATTTTTTAATTTTTATGGACATTTATAACCATACAACTTAACTGCCAAAATAGTGCTAATTGAATATTAGGAAATTATTATAACCTGTGTGGCTTATAATCAAAATTCTACCTATTCGAATGAGCAAATGAAATCATGAATTGAATTGAGCCCGAATCTAAGCTTATTTTCTAATTTTTCACAGTACATTGCTTTTTTTTAATTATTTTACCTTCTTCACTTCAACAAATTATATTTTAATCAATCCACTGATTTTTTTTCTTGTAAGATGAAAAGATAAATATGTCTTCTCTTGCCATGGTAGTGTTACATATCTACCTGCTTTTGCTATCTTTGTTGCTTTCCTAGGATGAAAGTGGCAGATCACTGTACTAGATATTTTAATTTTTTCTAAAGACTACAACTTGAGAAAATGGCATGGTATACAAATTGCTGTTTAAAAGGGAACAGATGTTTGACAAAAGTGTATCATAATTCACATGCCTGAGAACATTAGACTACACTTCAGGAAATACAGTGTAACTCATTTTAAAGAAGTAAAAGGCAATTCCCGGATTGTTGAGAAGAACATGGCCAGAGTCCTCTTGGGCTCCTCTTGCCCTTGGCAATAATCGATGTGCTTGTAGCATAAGTTATTGCTCTGAGATGCAGTATGTACACAAAGTTGCTCATTAGAAAAGTCATGAACAGTATTCAGGCTGTGTATATTTTTCATTAAGTGTACAAAGACATTTGACATTATCTATTAGATAAGGCTTTTTCAACATATAGGGAAGTTTAACACTCCTGGTAAGTTTATCAAGATCTGAAGTCTATTCCCTTAGCAAGAAGGTAGTTTTCAATTTTCCTTTTCTAGGCATGTTGAAACAATATTGACTAATCATCTCATGCACAATCAGCCCATTTTCTGTACATATTTATGAAAGCATAAGATGCAACGTATGGTTCTAGAAATAGAAGCTGCCATGGTGAACACAGAGGGTTGTCAGTCTACTCAGAGATAATGCTTGCTATTAATTAATTTGATAACATTAAGATATACCCAGAGCAACAGAAATAATTTATATTTGCATAATGCTTTATGGCTTATAAAAAACTTATACACAGCATCAGTGATTTGATGTAATTCTTAAAGCAACAATAGAAAGTAGGTACCCAAGAAAGAAGGTATTTTCTGCATTTTATAGATGAATAAACAGGCTCAGAAGAGTTAATGACTCCCCCAAGCTCAGTCTGAATTTCACAGTGTAATATTTATAATATAGCATATATGAAAATAGAAAAATACATTATGACAGACTAAAGCATAAGGAAAATAAGTTACTGCCCTTCAATTTTTTGTTTCAAAGTTTCTAGGAAGTGAGTATCTGTATCCATTGAAAAAACTATTAGTAATTATATGCTTAATGAATAAATGTTATTCTTACCCTTACTCAGAAAAAAATAATTAAATGGAATATGTTTATTATTATTATTTTAATCTTACTGGTAAAGTAAGAAAATTAAATCCAATTAAGAGTTAGGAGCCTCCTGACAGCTAAGCTGTGTTGTAATCACATACGCAACATAGGGCATTGGTGCCAAGGTAAAGACGTGAACCACCTTTAAAACCCTAACATCTGAAATTATGTCATGTTGGCTGAGATGTCACGCA